ATTATTTTCAATTATAGTTAAGTACTATTATAGACATTAATTAGGGATTATCACTATTGGCCCTTTTTTGACTCTAAAATTGTTTTTAAATTAATATAATTAAACATATTTTCTTTTATTTTTGAAAACAATTTTTAAAAATTAATTTAAAAAATAGTTTTTAAAAACCAAAAGAAAATAAAAACAAAACCAAACAAACCCAAAGTTACCTGTGAATGTAAGTTGAAGCTAGATGAATGTGGGTCTCACTAGCAAATGCGATTCGCGGATGGCTTCGACAGAGTTTGGGTTGAACTCATGCTTACGTGTACATCAACTCAGGACTCCATAAAATTCATGAATAATACCAATACTTAATTCATGAGGAAAAATTAATTATTAATTCAATCAAGATTTAAGTATTATAATTAATTTTTGAAATTGATTGGTGTGCCTCGGATGGCGGCGTGCTTGCGGTACCGAGCCACGCATGTTTGTGTTTTGAGCCTTGGGTTTCCCGACCGTTGTGATGCCTTGGCGACAACATTTGGGTGTTGCTAAAGTAAAGCTTATAACCAAATACTCTCCATATATTCACACTATTATTTATTTATTTATTTATTGTTCCTATCGAAGTAATAACAACAGCTATGTATACTAGCTAGCTAGTACTATAGAAACAAGAGTCATGTACGTGAAAAATAAGAATCCAAGGCGTCAATACTCAACAAGAAACATTCAATTCTTCGAAGAAACAACAAAAATAGAACAACCCGCGCACAAATTTTAATTGTCACAATACTGTATCTACATAATCTCAGAAACTATATATGTATACACACAGACAGGCAGATGTACATGCATGCATGTATGGCTATTGTCACTATGGGATAGGAAGGTAATAAAGATATATGTTGCGCTATTCTGAGCGTAAGCACAAAGGTAAAGATATACGTCAATATCTATGAAGAAAACAATCCATCTTATTAGAAAAGAGAAAGAGAAATACACACAGAAATGAAAAATTTTCGAGCTGGCTAGGCGTAGTCATGTCGACATATATACATATACAAAGAACCAAAGCATGCCAAAAAAGCATTCATATTTCTTAGTCCTTATGAAACGACTCTCAGAACCTTAGCCTCCGCTTAGCCGAGGCATCGTCCAAGAGAAATATATTCATTCGAAGGTCAGTGACCACGTCCGCTGTGGCTAGGCCCAGAATAAGCTTTGTTGATTGTTAAGCTAATCGTCGAAGAAGAAGAAGAACCAAATTGATGTTTCACAGGTCTGAAGGCCTCAGCACTCGTGGAGCAGTACGAGAGCAGCAGAAGGAAGAAGATGAGAAACATGGCATTAAATGCGACAGCAAAAGAACGAAAGTCCTTCATCCTCATCATTTTCGTTACCGAATTGGAATTGTTCGGTTTGAAGCAAGAGGCCAAGATGCCATATATATAGCATAGAAGTTTTGTTATAAGGGTTATTATGAACTATATGCATGTCTGACGCGATATACCAACTTATATTTTTCAAAGTTCGGAATGATCTAAATTCTGAATGGGACTAAATTGTTAGCTGGAGGTTTGAAATTAAAAAACTATAGCATGCAAAGAAAAATGCAGTCTCAAACTCTCAAAAACGTAAACCACACGATATGTTAATTGACTATCTAAAGCTTTTTATGCATTTATTACCTTGTACGTATAGTTAAATGATATTATTAGGAGCTAGTCAATTTTGTGACATATATACTATTTCTTCATTGAAGTTGATGGACATACATAAAACCTTTGAATTTCTCTGTTTTCCCCCCTCGGTCTCCGTTGTGAATTACGAGCTTCAGTTTGGTTCGCATCACATCTCACTCTCTTAAATTTGATTTGAAGACTTCATCCATGTAATTTAATATATATAAACTGTTACACCAACAAGTGGCCTTAGTGTGGAAGGGCGACTATGGTCAGTTAAGCCTCAAATTTAAGTCAAAGTAAATGCAGAAAATATTTCTAAAAAAGTTATTTTCAATTAGAGCTAGCAATGACCAAGTCCAATAATTATTACATCAAATTTAAAAAGTAATGTGTGTGTGTGTAACTGTACCGTTATAAAGGCTACTTTCAATTAGACTTATTAATAATACTGATCAAATATGACCCGGTTAGATAGTTACATTAAAAAGTTATATAATCTCTCTTGTTCTATTTATAAGGTAGGGAGAAAATAATTTTTTTTTTATCTTATTTATAAAATACATTATTAAATTTTTATTATAAATTTTTTTACCTTTCATTAAATATTAAAAAAAAAAATATGTTATTGAAATATATATATTTAATAGGGATAAAGTTAAAAACTTATAAAATTTTAAGACAGAGTTAATAAATTTTAATATTTTTCTTAGTACTGGTTAAATAAGTTAGAAGTGACTTATAAAATATGACCAAAGGAGTATAATCTACCATAAAGTTTCTAAACTTTTTAATATTTTACGAAATGTAATTAATATAATTAAGATGTTTGAGCTATGACATTTTTTTATCCTTATATTGGGAATTTATAGAATCTGTTGCGTATAGTGGCTGGTTCATATATGTATTAAATGATCGGAAGGTATTGTAATTCAATAATTTTACTTTGTTCCGCAAGAAAATGTATTAAATTATAAACAGTACATTTCAAAAGCTGCGCACACTTCTATAAAGTATGTGCAACGCATTAGGCAAAGGAAAGCATCATCTCAACATTCAATATGTTGAGCAAACCCAAATTAATGTGCTGATAAAGACCAAACAACACTGTTTTGTGTTAAAGCACATGTCAAAGTCCAACACCTGGTGGCGGGGATAAAAAGGCTGATTTGGGTCAAATTTCTTGGCTTCACGATGCTTCCAACCTAATTCTAAGTTTCAGAGATACGTTCATGTAATTGGAAAACATGATAAGGCCATCCACCATAGCAGTGAGTACCGTATGAAAACGAAAACTTGTCTTACAAGCATTGGAAATTGACTGAAGTTCATGCAAGCCTGTATATTATAGCTGATGACACATAAAATGACGTCTAGTTTAACAGAATATATGACTAATAATTCTCATATCTTTTTTTTTTAATTAAATAAAATTTAGATGAATTGAATCTCAAGATCTTAAGGTATATTTCTAAATATAAAAAAATATTTATAAAGATAATTACGAATCACTTATTTATAAGATCTTCATATCAATAATTAGATTTGATCTTACAATTTTATAGATTACAATTTAATTAATCCATGCAAACTGGATTATCCCAACTCTCCATGTTCTATTATTCTCTCATACAATTCAAGTGCCACTAACCACTGTATCCAAAGTTCTATTATTTATCAAGGACCATTTAACAATTCAAACTACCTACACATATGTTGTCAGCATGTACTGTACTCACGCATCACAGAGTTGACAGTGAAGTGCCAAGATTTTAATGGCAAAGCTTGCATCGTATTCTATATATGCAGAGATACAAGAAATTAAGCATATATATGGACAATATATACATTCCTCCACTTTCCAACCAAGTACAGCGATCGTTATCAATTAGGGGCACACTGCAGGAAACTTCAGATTTTCTAGCACCTGCCAAGAAGAGGTTATTCACTAATCCCCAAGTCGTGTTTATTGATTTAATTGACACAAGGTGGTATCAGTTTAATGAGAAGTTTTGAGTAAGTTTTTAGAAAGGCCACCATGTTGAATACTTGCAATTGGTGGTGGAAAGTGGAGACGTAAGTTCTTGTTCTTCTTTTTCTCTTCACTTGTGTTAATTTGTCAATTCTAATGCTAATTAAGCCGAGATTATGTATATTGGACCTCAATTAACAAGGGAGTTGACGAAGTTTTCCTTTGATAAAACAAAGCATGCATGCTCTATATATATTTCTCTTCATAGGCAAAAGAAAAGGAAAACACATTGATTCTATATATATATATATATTGATGAGTCAACTGAAAATCTGATGGACGTGGCAATATTAGGACGTGAGGTTCACATGCACCCAGTATCATAATGGACAACTAATAAGCCACGTCAAAATTCAGATCAAAGATGCTTCAAACTAAACGCATTCCCTTCTACTTGACTTTTGTACCGTGCCGTGTTACTCAGAGACGGAATAAGTTCTTCAGCCTTGGCACGAGAAAAACGCGTGGGAGGTGAAATCTCCTTAATATTAATGCTGATCAAGATTATTATGTATTTTATTTATTCATTACATTAACCTAAAAATAAAATTTAAAAATACAGTTGCAGAAAATATAATGTTACTGAATACTGTCAAAAAGGTATAATATAATGTTACAGACATACATTTAATTATTTTAGTTGTACTGGAAAAAGTATATAATGAGTTAAGAAGAAACTGTACTGTCAATAAGCAGTGTTTTATCCTAACTGTAACACCACTTCCTTTTATTAAAAGAGATCCTAAATTTAAACTTAATATTGATATGGTTAGTATGCGTGCACAAGTACATGTGTTAACCCTTATTTAAATTGCAATATATAAAGTAAGTTTGCATATAAAAAAAATCACTAAGGAGATGATAACTCCTTAAATGATGCTTAGAATTATCAAGAGATCAATCTCATTGGGTATGGGAATACTAACCAAAAAAAAAAGTTTATATATATATATATATATGTATATTTTAAAAAACATGCATATGATCTTTAAAATAATTGAAAGGGACCCACAAGGAAAAAAATAAAAGGGAAGGGACTATGGTTGTTTAAATACAGGAACTGGAGTGGAGTTTGTAAAAATATTTTTGAAAAAGCTATCTCAAATTAGTTTTGACAATGTTCAAATCTGATTAAATCAGATAGCCAAGGGGTGGAATTAAAATTTTAATTCTAAAAATGAATGCCCTGTGCTCAAAATCAATATGAGAAGCTTGGGAACCATTTTGCAATAAAATTTCCTTGAAAATCACTATGGGATGCTCAAAGTCGCTTCCCGGCCACAATCTGATGATTTACAGAGGCAAGCAAGAATATGTGGCATTATGGCTGAATTAAGCCACACGTTCCAACCAATAGTGCTCTGCATACATAAGTATTTGTTTTCTATATCTACCCTTATCAAAATATATATATATATATATATATATTAACCAAAATAGAATTTTACATAGTTTAAAGCGAAACCTCGACATTGGACCCCCAAGTCCATGCATGTGTGAACTAGTCTCGTTAAAAGTCATCCTCCTTTTCATTTTCTTTTACTTTGCCTTCTCCACTTTCCACCTTTCACATTGGCTATATATATATATATATTCATACATATGTTTAAATGTCTATGTATACACAGCAACCACCGGAATCTGTTTCCCAAAAAAGGAGACACTTCGGAAAATGATTTGGCTTTTCATCCCTTGGATGTTTGATGTTTCTCATGTTGGTGGCGAAACATTATGATTCCCCATCGCAGGTGACCAGAAATCAGCACCGTTGCTCCTTGCCACGTGTACGGTGGATTCCACGGGGATCAGACACAGCCCTCTGCTACTTAGCTCTCCTCTGGCTTCTCGATCTCTCGCGTTGATCTCAAATCCAACCCCCTGGAATAACGCAGACACATTATGTAATATACTAAAATGTCCAACAACCATTATCACTGCCTTCATTGATATCCCATTCTGTCACACTTTACTGCTCAATCACCGCAAATGGCTGTAAACCTAAGTCAACTTCTCAAAGGAAAAAATAGACGATAACTATTAACCAACTAATTAAACAAGGGCTCCTCAGTTTGACTGCTCAGTCACCGCAAATGGCTGTAAACCTAAGTCAACTTTTCAAGAAAAAAAAAATTAACCAACTAATTAAATAAGGGCTCTGTCCTAATTTATATTTATAAGTTAGTTTTAGATAAAATCACATATATTAATAAAACTCATTAAATATACTTTACAATTTTACTTATTCAAAACAAAAATATAAACTTTTAAAAATAATATTTATTTAACACTCTATTTATGAAATGATATAAAGAAAAAGAATATATGTAAAGGATAATCTTGAAAAAATATTCTTAACAAGACTTTATTTTTATCAAAATATCTTATATTTTAAAACATTAAATTTTTTTCAAAAATATTTTATAATTTGAGATTGAAGGAGTATAATACAAGTTTTAGTCCATTAAATTCACTCTTAATTATTGACTTAATCTTTTAAATTTATTTTTTATTAATTTAACTTCTTAAATTTATTTTGATTATCAATCTAGTTGTTATTGTTATTATTTCAAAAGAAGGAAACACTGTTAAAATTATTGATAACAATCATGCACAGTATCAACGAAAAGAAATATATTTATTTAATTATGAAAAAACATATTCTAAATTTTAAAAAAATAAATAGAATATTATGTTAGTGATTACATTAATAAAAGTTAAATTGATTTAAAGATTAATTAAATATACTTTACACATGATATTAATGGAATCACATGATTGAGACCAAATCAAAAAAAATAAAGTGAGAAACCTAGTAAAATTGAAAAGGGACAAAAATAAGGTGGGCCCCACCTTGTATGTTTGTCTATCTTCAATTCTACTCGTACTTTCGAGGATGAAACTCTCAATTGGAACAATGGTCACAATCAATCAAGCGGGCCTGGCTACTGAAACTGAATAGCTCAGTCCAAGGCTATGTTTTGTTCATGGAAGAAGAACAGGGCAATTATTGGTGGGTGTTTTGTCTTTTTCTCAAATGGAAACACAGAAATAAAAACCTGATAATGATGATGATAAGGGATGGGACGCACAGGATGGGCGTGAACCAAATGAGGCGAAGAAGGAAGTCCCTGCAAGTAAGGCGAGCAGAGGACCTGAACTTGGTCGTGGAGAAACCTTATGTATCCCATTGCCTCGTGAAGCACAGACGCTGTATCTGTCTGCAACAGATTTCAAGTTCCAAAAAACATAAATGTCATTTATTTTTCCGATAATCAATAATGCATCCCAGAAAGTAGTAATAGAACATTATATATGTTCTTGCTATATATATGCCCAGGTCGATCTCTCTCACCTTCCCAAATGGAGAAACGAGCTGTTGTAACGCTGCGATTCGTTCCCCGAGTTTCTCCTTCCTCTGCCATTAGTAAAACAAAAAACCAGCAACTGAAATGAATGGGGACAACATACGAAAGTATATAAAAAAAAATGTACAGCAGTATCTGTCTGATTTCTAGAGGGAGAAAGAGACAGGAAACAGAAAAGAGAGAGGGACATGCAAATAGCAAAACACCGTCGGTTGTCGATTGTCCTCACCTTTGCATGTCCTGTTGAAGCGGGGTTCTCCGCTCTGGCCTTCTTAGACTGTCTCCGGCCACCACCACCAGCTGCTGTCACGACGGAATCCGTACATCCCGCCAGTTCCTGTCCCGACCCGCTTCGTTTTTTCTGTACGAAAAAAAGAAATCGTGGAACCATCTCATTGCAAGCCTACCAAAACAAAAATCAAAGACAAGGAGTAGCTATTAATAATAAGACAGACTTGAGACTCGTGGTTGCAGGAGGAAGAAGCAGAGGAGGATTCGCTGGAAGTGATGACAGACTTGTGTGGGGTGACAGGTTTGGGATCAGAAAGGAAGAGGTCGGGTGGATTATTTGGATAGGTTTGGAAGCAGAGCATTGTGGGGGTGTTGCCATTGGCAACAGAGAAAAGGGACGAAGAGTGGAGAGAGGGGTCCACATGGTGATCAGCAAGAAGAAGCTGAGAGAAAGAAGGGGCGGGGGACAGAAGGTGGTCCCCATGGAAGTGTTGGTGGTGGTGGTGGTCGTCCTCCATAATCAGGAATCCGCAACGGAGCAGAGAGAGGAAAAGAGAGAAGGGAGTGATGGGAGAGGACAAGCGGAGAGTGAGAGAGGATGAGGGGGTGGCAGAGAGAAGGCGAGACATTTGGAGAGGAAGAAGAAGGGAAGAGTTGGGCTGAGATGGGCTTGTTGTTCCAAGGAAGGCTTCGGTTTTCGGCGAGGGACGGTCAAACCCACTAGGCCCGAGAAAACCGTGGTTGAGTCTTCCAATGCACCATTCTTCTACTTTGCCTTTTCCGGATTCGGGCACCACCGACTCGCCATTCACTAATCACTGATTCACCTCCCGTTACTACTTTGACTGCGTTTATGATATCATCATCATCACCATGGCATGTTCCCCATTGCTTTGTTCACAGAAAATATTTCCCACTCATGAATTGCTTTCTTAATTTCATCTTCCATAATATTATTGCATTATATTTTTTAAATTACTTTGATAACGAATGAATTTATCTTCTATAAATAATAAATTTTATTATTAGTTACTTAAACATTATAAACATGATGTGTTACTTTCTTCACTTAAAAATATATAATTTTTTTGAGGAATTAAATGTTAAAATATATAAAATATTTTTAATATTTTAAAATATAATTAATGTGAATTTTAAAAAAATTAATAAATAAATTATTTTATATTTATATTTAAGTGACACACTTTATTAAATAAAGATAGATGTAAAAAGATAATGTTAGTTTAAAAATAATTGACTAATTTATTAAGAGGTAAACTTATATAAAAATATTTAATATTTTTTAATAGAAGTATATAGATTTAGAGCTATGAATAACACTATTCATATTCATAGTTTATAAATAGTACAATTTGGTGATTTTTTTTTTTTTTCCAAAATAAGGTTTTTCTTACTCCCTAAAGATATGCGATTTATTTTGGCCAAAACCTAATTCGTAGAATCAACCACTTGGCCAAAGTAACCCAAGTAAAACCAACTAAGCAAATATGCAGGAGCGGAGGAAGTACATAAACTGAGGCACTATAAGCACCTTGGCAGCAAATCAACGACGATTCTGAGTGATGACTAGAACCAACACGAAGAGAAACTGTGAAAGTAGCGTGAGAAAATAACGGAAAAGGGAGAACTTGAGAAGAGCATGACACGAATGGTGGAACAAGATAACAAAAAATTATGAGAAAGGGGAAAACAATTTCATAGATACTGCGAAATTAGCAGAAGGAAGGAAAGTAATCCTGACAGTCCAAAGTCACTCTAGACTCGAGCAATAAATAAATAGCATAATCCAAGATCCATGGACTTATTTTATGATGTGAATTTCATGGTTACCATGAAGTTACTAGGAAGAAGCACTGAAGATGCATATAAAATTAAACAACCTCGCCAAGCAACAAACTAAGCTTTTGATTTTTCTTTGAGGAATAAAAACAAACAGTTGGCGGGCAGGAGACCAGACTAGGAACAGCAGATGTTCCTCAGCTTATCCGCAGCAGATTTGTCAACCGAATACTGCGAACGCATCAAATAGCGAATGGGTCATCGAAAAAGAAACAAAGAATCGAAGTTTTGAAGCGGAACCGTATTTTTCTCAGAAAAAGGGAACAAGAACAGAGCAAGTAGAGACCTTATCCAGAACCCATAAGGAGTGACGATAGGTGCGGTTGAAGAGATCCTGAAGAGTAGTAGAATCTGAAGCATCCACGTCTCGGTAATTGACGAAGTTCTCGCGTGCGTACTTGGCGTAGTAAGATCTTGTGTCCTTCGGCAAGCGCCTCACTAGCCTCAAAACCTCCATGTATGCTCTTAGTGCCTTCTCCATTTGCTTTGTCATTACAAAATGGTTCCGACACGCGATCACTTGTCAAGGCCGGAAATATTTCAAGATTTTGGTAAAGAATCAAAGCTCTTGAATTCGGCAAAATTTTAAAGCTAAATTATTTAAACGCTCATGAAATTTACCCTCCCGAGTAACTGAAAATTGGATGCCTCCGGATTTTACACTTGTATGTTCCGTAATTTACACCTTGTTTACTTTTTTCCCCCGCAACAAAAAGAAGAAACTATATTAACAAACAAAAGAGCTCAAAACAAACGTGGAAAAGGAATTGGGGGTCTAATGACTCACTTTAAAGGGCACAACTCCTTTAAAGAAGCCTTGACAATTCAATCCGCCATCAAGTTTACCTTCCTAGGGAATAAGAACCCATGGAAAATGATAATTCCTTAAGAGATTTCTCTTAAAGAGGATATTTTCAAACCGGACAAGACATGTTGAGTTAGCAAGAGTTGAATAAAATATAAACATGTAAACACCATATTTTATTTGGGTCTTAATAAATAAATAATGTAACATTATAGTAAAATAAAAAGAGAAAATAATAAGAATGAAAATAAAAAAATATTTTAATAAAAAGTTAAAAGGTATTGTATGTGAAGATAATAAAAAATATAATTAAATTAGATCACAACCTAATATAATAATTTGAATATAATAATCAGAAGATAATATAATATAACATTATGATTCAAAGATCTCAAGATAATATAATTTAATATCTAATATTAAAATTTAAAGATTTCAAAATAACACAATGATCAGGGTAAAATAATAGGTAAGATAACAATTAATCTCTAAATAATAATAACAAAATAATATAAAAGAAATACTGGTATAAATCACAATAAGATTGAGATTATAGAGAAATTCTAGACATAAGGGTTTATATAAAGAAGAGCAAAGGTAGAGCAATGAGACAATGAGAGACTCAAGGAGACCGTAAGAGAGAAAACGATAGAGATTTAAATAGGCTGAGATTTATAGATGTAAGTTCACCTTTTTTTAAACTTTAAACATGCATGCTTTTACATTAATTAAGTATTTCATGAGGTTGAATCTTAAAGTTTGAGTCTAGAATCTTTTGAGCTTTGCACGTGATCTCTCCTCTAATTGAAGTGCAAATTTTTGTCTTCATGGTGTGCGTAAGATGATTTCCAGTAGCTATTATTTTATTCTTCTTCATCTTGAATCTTCATATATGAGTCTTACTATTTAAAGTTCTCTTCTTTTATGCTATAATAACATCATATGAGTATGTCTCGTAAGATGTATTAAAAAGTTTAATTATTTTAAGAAAAGATTGTTCTATTTCTTTGCAGAATTATTTGGTATATGATAGTTTTGGTTGGCATCTTTGTATTATTTCTATGTTTAGGTTATATGTAGGGAAATATATTGCTTAGAATTTTCTAGATTTATCATAATTTACAAATCACCTAAAAAGGTGTTGCGTTAAATTGTATACAACAAATTGTTTATCTTAAAGAAATGATTTTACTATGCTTAATTCTCTCTAAACTTATTCTTGAGAATAGTGGAGGTAATTAATGATTTATCAACCACAAATTAAGAAATCTACCTTAAATACCACTAAACAACTACATTCATGCTCTTCATGTACATATTTACTATATACCAAACTAAGATATACAACATTACAAAATTTGATGATAAGATTAATGCAACTAGCGACTAAAAATGTTAACAAAGGTCACTCTAGTTTTAATCAAATGCTTGAACAAAAACTCAAGTCCATCTTCGAGATGTTGAATCTAACACTCCAAATTTGCCAACTAATTTAAAGATTGGCGTTAATGTCTCTCTTTTTTGTCAACTTAAGTATAAAGCATTGCATTGTTGCATCAACTTGTATAAATTCATTTTCTTTTGCAACTTGTGCAAAAACCACTTTTTCAGTGTATAGTAGCTTAGAAATTGAAAGCCCGCTACTTGGCTTTGCTTGTGTTGATCTAACAATAGAATTCAGAAATGAATCAAATATGACAAGAGTTACTCCTTCAACTTCTCTCAACAAGTTAACCGAAGAATAACTACATGCAGTAGAGAAGTTTCCTTTCTTAACATTGCCCTTTAAATTCTTCAAGGCTTTTAAGATGGACTTCCTCACCATCTTCCTAAAAGTGAGAAATTTGTTAGCCTCCACTGTAAGCTCTTCTTCACCTCCTCTTTTTCTTCTTATAATTGATTGAAATTCTCTTGTGCACTCTTTTGTTAGCACATGCATCCAATGCTCTTAAGGACCAAGAAAAAAGCTCGTCCACATAATTTCCTTAATGCTCTTGTTAAAGGGTTTCTTAGGTGAGAGGAATTTGAACAAGCTTTTCAACACAATCACGTAGATCCTTCAAACCTCATAGCTTTTGGCTCAGTGATAATGAAGAGAAGGTTTCAACAAAAGCTCTTAATTTGTCCAAATGTTCATGGCACTGAAGAATGAGAAGGTATGGTCTAGAGGGCAAGCTATTTGAGCGAGCATGAAAATGAGATTTTATGTTCAAAGGAGAGGATGCCATTTTTAGCATCTAAGAAGAGAAAGGGCCTAAAGATTGAATGTAAAGTTGAGTCTAGCATCTGCATAATATATATGCTGAGTGGTGGACACACAAGGAATCTTATCTTCAACCATTCACAATGAAAGCCTAATTAATTAAAATTTGGATTTGAAAAATCAAATTATGTTAGAGCAATGTCTCCCACAAGAAAGCTTTCCAACGCACCTTGTATATGTTTTGTTCATGGTGATACAGGAAATTGCACGCTTTCTCATTATCTACTTGTCATTATATATTATTTGTTGTGTACAAGCAAGCTGAGTTGCGCTGTTTTGGTTCTAAAAGAACATATTTCTTTTGTTGTTGAAGGCTTTAGAATATGAGTTCAACTAATATTTCTCCCTATATTTTGTAGTTTGGACATGTATAAAGAAGATTATGAGAGGCACCTGTAAGGAGAGTAAAACAAATAACTTTGAGCCCTATCAAGAAGGGTAGAGAAAAGTCAAAGAAAACACTTTTGAAAATTATTGAGCGGGACTTTTAATTAACCATATTTCTAAAAGCTTAATAAATGATAAAACACAATAACATCATATAATTCATGTAGGCTTGGTAGGATGATGTTGTTGTTTTTTTTTATGACTTCTGAAACTCTAAATCCTTGTACTCTAGAAGACAAAATAATCAATAATGATGCAAATAAAAAAAGAGAGTTACACTTCACTTTTAATATATATAGACAACTAAATTATCAGTTGCATGTGGTCAAAAAATCATTCTAGCATGATGGTTCACTCATTGTCTTTTGTCCTCGAAGCTAGTAAGACAACTAGCATGTTGTTAATTGCAAATAGTATACAAAATTTGAATCAATTAATCATAGACTAAGCAAGATATGTAACATTGAAAACTCTAATATGGATTTAAAATTTAAATTGACTTGACTCCCTTGTGTGGGTTTACTAGTATCTGATCAAGTTTTCAATTATTATCTCCTCCTCCTCCCTTTTTTGTTTGCTTCATTTTGGTAGAAGCAGAAAGTTACACTTTGTTGAGAAATTATAGGGAGAAAATTTGATACATAAAATGTATAGAAAATAGAAGTACCATAAATTGAATCAAGTTATGACTACAATTTTCTCTTACAACTTTAGGAGACTGTTGAGATTAGGAATAAACTTCTTCTTGTTGTTGTTTAATATTTAATTATCAACCTAATTGCTGTTGCAATGCTAGCAACCAGAATATGGATATAGACTTCGAATCCCATGGGGGGAAAATAATTGGATTGCATAGGAATTTGTTATATTTGACTCCTCCTTTAATCTTCATTTTATTTTCAAACTTGAAGAAAATGAAATAACAATTTCATTGAAACATCATACTAATAATAGGATGGTTAATTGGTGGATTAAGACAGCAAAATGCTTCTCTGCAATCCTTTCTTTTCATAAACTTTGGATGCAGACATTTGAAAAATAGAGAAAGAAAAGGAGACAAATGATCTAGTAGATGTAAACAGTAATTTAATTATCAGAAATACTATTGATTATTGGATAATAGTACATGATCTGTGCAATCGTGAAACACTTAAGAGGTAAAAATTGAATTTGGGTGTTCAAGACTATCACATATTTTTTTTAATTAGTGGTTAAGGGTGTTGAGAAGGGAAACTCTAATTCTGATATGCTGCCTTGAGAAACATTCAACTCCTATTTTTAGATCCTGAATACACACATCTAAATCTTCTAAATGACTTTGGAAATTGTTAGCAGTTTTAAGCATGTGTTTGTAGAAAGACTTCAAAACTGCATCTACCTTCTTATGTTTCCCACTAAACAACTTCCCAACTCACTCCTCAATTGTTGACCTTGGGAATGAAAAGACTGCATGTAGCATAGATGGGTGGGTGTCCCCTCCATCTTAACAAGGCATGGGATTGAAGTAAGCAGCATTAATGGATTTTTTATCTATTGGAGGAGTTGTTCATGTCTGTAAATAAATATCAGTTCAACGGACTTGCATGCATTTTAAGGCCTTCAAATGCAGTTTAAGGGCAATAAGAATCTCATCATTTCAAGATATTGATGTTGGGTTGTATGGTGGGACATATATTGAACGCCATGCAGAAGACAAATAAGATGTTGACTGGTCTATGCTCAGCTTTCTTGGAAGTTATGCAACAGTAGGATGAGCCATAGACATTGATGAAGGGGAAAAAATAAAGAAAGAAAGAAATCATAAAAAAGCAAGAAAATTTTAAAATTGAATGAGTCCTAGCGTTGTTTACTTTGATGCCAACAATAAAAGGGATAAATAATCAGAGCCGTCAATGCGAGGCAAATAGGCAGTACAAAAATATAAACACATAAAATAAATGTTATAATGGTTTATATTCTTTCACAATAAAAAAAAAAAACTTCTTCACAACCTAAACACAAATTAAAATCTTAAAATTAATTATCACAATTTTTTAAAAAATATAATTTCATTATACATAGATAAAAACATGTTAGGAAGTAGGAACTTTACTTCTCAACTCATATTATTGCAGGTTGTCCCATAAGAATTATGTATTTACATATATTTGAGTTGAGAATGAAACTTTTTTTTTTTTTAATGTTCAAGTTGAGAACATTTTTAAATTAACTAACAATTTTTTTTTCCATAAAAAAAATTTAAAGTGATTACGTTTGGGTTAAGAAAGAAAAGTCGTTACGTAACTATAATTTACTCATGCCAAACTCGAATTTGTTGCAAGTTTACCCAACATAAGTTGCAATTCTTCACCAATCAGAATCAATTGCAACAATTTGAGTTTGATACAACGGGCAACATTCCACAGCTCTGTGAAGTAAAAGCCTGGCAACTTCTTCATTAGCAAGCTCCACAACTGCCTTCCACAGCCTAACAGAATCAGGAATGTGTTCTAGCCCATTCCCTAATACCCCTCCTCTTGTTCACATCATCATGTTCCAATTTGGCAGCCTGCATCCACAGCTTCGCAGAATTAGGAATCGACTTCACACCCCTAGCTATGATAGCTTTTGCTTCTTCTGGATTTGCTAGCCTACAAGCCTCCAACCAAACATCTTCATTCTTGGGACACTCCTCACAGCCTTTGTGAATCAACTGCCTTGCTGCCTGAATCTTGCCAGCCACTTCCTCCAATCTTGCAGCAGCAATCCAACCAGGAGGGTGTTTAGGATTTGTTTGAGCAACACTCTTAAGTAGAACCTAGCTTTCTTGGTACCTGATATTTCTGCATCATTTGTTATTTTCATACTCTTAAGATCAGTCAGATATCGCTTCAGGTCCACAACAATCAACCCTGAAACAGAATCCAAGAGCCTATCCAACTTCGAGGACAACACAGTACCCCTACCCTCACCAACCGTAATTAAATCGGTAACCGGAGTTGGTGCCTACAGAGTCTCAGTTCCACCAGCTGCCCTACTCTTGGGATCCAATGCAGTAAAATGTTCTTGCTCATGTCTTGCCTTCTCAAGAAGTGCATCAGGCACGGGCACAAAACTTCTTCTTATTCCTCAAAGAATAATCCCCAATCTCCGGTATAGTATCCCACTCTTGCGCTGACATAGTGTACAATTTGCGTTTCAAATCCACACAAACTGCTCGGTAATCTTCGTGTTGGACGCATGATATAGTTCTCTATCCTTCCTCATCGAATCCATTCTCTCGTCAATGGCTTCCCACACCGCATCAGCCTCGTTATCGTTTTCATCATACTCGGCGGAAGCAATCAGCCCAACATCATTCCCTTTAAACTCATCAAATTTCTGATCCTCATCATGCCCTTTATCGTCCCCTTCCTCCTCTTGCGTCCCTTCCCTCTTCCTTTGCAATCGCTGCAGAGGCAGCACCACCAATCATGGTAGCCAACACGCTGACCTATCAGGCAATTCTGAAGCCGCATGAACAGGCCCTATATCAGAACGCATGGTGAATCCAATGGCACCACGGTCCAAGACCAGCAACATAATTTGGGAAGGATCGGAGGTTGAGTGCCACCAAAGAAGGGAACATGAAGAGTTGAAGTGGAGTAAGGTCGAAAACTGAGATCGGAGATAATAACGGAATCATCATCGCCGAGTAATTGGAGATTCTAAAAGGAATAAACGTTGATGTGATATGGGTATGCCTGAAATTTGCTGGATAGTGAGCTTTCAGGGCATGGAAGGAGGTCGTCCTGGGGTCAACATCTAGAGCTAGCGTTTTGTTGTTGGGCGGCACAATGAACACCATTGCAGCGTCTCCCCTGGATGAAAGAAAGAAAGACTCGCTCTTACTGTAGATATTTGCCAATTATAGAAGCGCAATGCATTGTCGAAGACGAAGAAAGTCGAGAAACCGCTTAAAGGACAAAACGTCATTTCTTTACACTAGAAAAGAGATGTATCTATAGTAGCATTTATTGTTTTTTATTATCTAAATCCCGCATTAGGGAAACGCGTGGCCACTTGTACCATTCGGCCACACTTGTTAAGTGACAGTTGCGTCAAGCAAAGTCTGATCTCTTTCAATTTCAAGTTCCACAGTCTACTTTTTTCGTTGCAAGGAAGGTGATTAGTTTTCACTTTTCAGCACTGAAGAAGACGGAGAATGATGAAAACTGCGGATTCTTGCCCTTTGAAGGTTACATTTACGAAGCCAGCGAAGCACTGGACCGATGCGCTTCCGGTAGGAAATGGACGCCTTGGAGCTATGGTCTGGGGTGGTATCACTTCCGAAATTATCCAGCTCAATGGTACCTGAATGTGACTTCTCGCTTCCCAAAAATCGATTTCCCTTCTCTTATTCTATTTGCAGGCAAAAATCATTTCACAATATTTGATTTTTGTAGAGGATACACTATGGACTGGGACCCCAGGAGTCTACACTGATTCCAGAGCTCCGAAAGCACTTTCGGAGGTGCGAAAGCTTGTTGATCACGAGGAATATTCAAAAGCTACTGAGGCAGCGGCTAAGCTAACAGGAAACCCTGCTGAAGTATGTATCTGCTATTGGCATTATCTTTTATTATGGCTAATTTTCTTCCTTGGGAGAATGATGTTAAAGTCCTATGCAAGGGAATTAATTACTGCAAGGTCCATTGACAACTGAACTAAAAAACATCACAACCAGTTGTCAATGCAGTTTAATTCAGTTGTGAATGGACCTTGCAGTAATTAATTCCTTTATATGTGGGACTTAATTGTAATTCTCCCTTCTTCCTTTTGTCTGGTATAAAGTGCTATTGTTTGGTAATCCTTGTTCTATCGGATAGGTAGGACTGTTTTGCTCACTGGTAGTTCATTCTGTTAAAATGTTGAGAATTATTGCAGTTGAGAATCACAGAAAGGGTAGTGATACTAAAGGGGGGAAAACTGTAAAATAATATATTTATACGCATCTAATTTTTGTTCGGATGACATTTTTAGGATAATTATGCATACTATAAGCTTTAGATCTATTTTCACTTCCTCACCAGTTTTGGGGAGATTGATCTTTCTCAGTAGAATTTAGATTTAAATGGTCCCCCAAGTTTCTAACCCCTGTTCCATCTAGTTTCTGAAATAGGATAAAATGACTTGTATCCTTCATTGTCATTATTCCATGATTGCTCTCTATTTTCACCCATTTATGACGCTTTGATAACCTGAAATCATTCAATGCCTTTCAAGTAAGTTGAGAATTTCAATACAAAAAGCATATAAAGAATGAGAGGAGAGTCTGTCTCTCTGAGGCCACAATCTTTGGTTCACGGACGTTCTCGTGCTATTCTACTAATATACAAGGCAAACTATGACCTGACAGTTGTCACATTCTTTTCTCGTGGAGTGTAGGTCTACCAACTCCTTGGTGATATCAGACTGGAATTTGATTATTCGCATCTAACATATGGGGAAGAGACTTATCTTAGAGAGCTAGATTTAGACACCGCAACAGCTAAAGTGAAATATTCTTTGGGTGATGTAGAATTTGAGAGGGAACATTTTGCCTCTTATCCAAATCAAGTGATGGTAACCAAGATTTCTGGAAGTAAACCTGGAAAATTATCATTTACAGCTTCTCTGGACAGCAAATTGTTTCATCGAACTTACATCAATGGAAAAAATCAGATTATAATGGAAGGAAGATGTCCCGGCAAAAGGATCCCACCAGAACATTCTGCAAAGGACATTCAACTTGGAATTGAATTTTCAGCAATTCTTGATTTGAAGATTAGTGACAGCAATGGGGTGATCAATATTTCGAATGACAAGAACTTGAAGGTTGAGGCTGCAGATTGGACTGTTTTGCTTCTCGTTGCTTCATCTTCCTTCAGTGGCCCACTTACACAGCCTCCAAATACTAGAAAAGAACCCACTTTAGAGTGTTTGAGTGCATTGAATTCAATAAGCAATTTGTCATATGCTGATCTATATGCAAATCATTTAACTGATTATCAGGAACTTTTTCACCGAGTCTCACTGCATCTTATAAAAAGCACACAGGACATATCAAGAGATGGGTCTTTGGAGATAAAGAGACATGCACTGTCTGTAGTTGATTTATCTCTCAAGGACTGTGCTGTAGCAATTTCAACTTCAGAGAGGGTGAAGTCATTTCAGACTGAGGAAGATCCGTCAATGGTGGAGCTTCTATTCCAATATGGTCGTTATTTGCTCATTTCTTGCTCGCGCCCTGGAAGTCAGGTGGCTAACCTGCAGGGAATATGGAACAAAGATCTTCAGCCAAAGTGGGAGTATGTTCATGTTTTGACTTCTTTCCAGTGGATATGGTTTTGATGGAGGATTTATACTACATATCCTTTTTCTTTTCTTTTTTTTTTGATAAATTATATTACACATTCTTGTGCCAAGCCAAAAAAAAAAAAATCTTTACACATTCTCACGTGCACACATACACTGGGACTAGGAATTGAAGATTAATATTCATAATTAGCAAGGCAATCTTCATTAATACAGCCAACCTTAATCAAGAGTGAGTGTATGTTTATATTAGCAGTGCTAACATCAACGTAGTTTTGCAGCTTTCGAGACAAAAGCTACTCTCATAAGCTTTTAACTAAATGCAGTTTTTCAGTTCTCCCACCACATTTTCAAGCATGCCCTTACTAGTGATGCCATGCTTTTATATTGTGTGTGTTCTCTTTACATATTACGTCTGGAATGTTTACTTTTCGAGAGGTGCTTGAATAATATCACCATCAGTACATGTTTCACCATTCTATTTTCTAAGTGATAAGGATTATACCACGTGTTTGTGCGGCTGCAATTGAAGAAAATTAAAAACCTCAGCTTCATGGAAGAGTTTGAATTTGTGAAAACTCACATCTGATTAGATATTTAATTTTTCTTTCATCTGCATTAAGATGCGTTCATGTCATCTTCTCTCTTTTGGTTTTTTTTTTCTTCGGGGTAAGATCTCTCTTTTGGCTTTAGTAGTGTGTTGTGGAATGTTTAAGAGAGTTTCTAAAATATCAAAAGGAAGGCTAGTCCAGGGTACCCTAGTATGTGATGGAAAATAGGACATGTTATCAATGTCATCACCGATATTCTGTTAACATTACGGGTTTTAAATTCTCTAATTCTCTATACACTGCAAATATTAATCATGGTTCCTTTTCCATTTTTTCCTTCTTTGTAGTAAATAGTGATGCCACATTTATTGCAATCCTTGCATTACAATTTATTCAAGACTAACAATGAACACGCTATCTTTTTCCAGTGGAGCTCCACACTTGAACATTAATCTTGAAATGAATTATTGGCCTTCTCTTCCTTGCAACCTTAGCGAGTGTCAAGAGCCCCTGTTCGATTACATTTCCTTTCTGTCTATAAATGGCGGTGAAACTGCAAAAGTAAGAGTTGTTCATCTTTCACATTTTAATCTTAGACTTAGTTTGTGAAGTGATCCCTCTCCAGTTATTTAAATTTAAAAAATCTCAGCTACTAGGTGGTGATCAGCTATCTGATTACAAGTACTAAGATTTAGAGACGTGTGCTGTCAAAGATGCAAAAATATCTGTTTAATTGGAAGCTTGTTCTCAAAAACAGTAGGGTACCTCATGGTCGGGGCAGTTTTCTTTCCTTTTCTTGGCCATGAGGGTTTGTTAATGTTTAAGGTTGCTGCAGAACTTGCATTAAAGGCAATGCTAGAAAGCCTTAAACCAGCTAAATCCCCATTCTTTTCTCGTGCATGCATGACTTTTGTGCTCTGTGTTATGCCTAAGTTCTCTAATTCCATTGCTAAATGCTGTAGGTAAACTACCAAGCAAATGGTTGGGTTGTGCATCACAAGTCAGATATATGGGCAAAATCATCAGCAAGCGATGGTGATGTTGTGTGGGCTTTGTGGCCAATGGGAGGAGCATGGCTATGTACCCATCTTTGGGAGCACTATGCTTACACTTTGGATGAGGCAAGTATAGTTTGACAGGCCTAAGATTTTTAATCAACTGATGAGATTAACCAAAAAATAAAAGTAAGACAAAAAATGAAGATAAAAAGTGTTTGAAAAGCTTCGGAGAATTTGAGAAATCTGATGCTGTGTCTTTACACACTTACACACAATTTTATGGCGTCTCAGGCTTTCAGTATTTGTGTTAATTTAATAATTTCATTGTTCTGCATGACGTAGTGCTTATGAGATTTCACTCAACTATATTGTCTGTATCAAACAAGTAACATATGCATATAGTTTTTATATGCGGAGGTTATCATATACAGAAAGCCTGCAGACATTTATTTATAGTTTTTATGCTAGTGATGCAAAATTTAATACCCCTTAGTTATCTTAGTTGAAGCTTATTAGGGTAGGCTTCGAACTAAAATCATTAAATTTTGTCTTTTTTGCATCTTATTAAATGTATGAAAAAAATTATTGTTTAATTTGTTTCAGAGAGGCTTTAATGTTTTAGTTTTAGAATAGACATCAGTCAATAGATTCTTTATAATTTTCTACAGACATTAGATACCGCGCTTGTACCATCTGATAGTAACCATTTCAAATGCAAATTTAGCTGATGTGTTGTTTCAAACAGGATTTCCTCAGATATAAAGCATATCCCTTGTTGGAAGGGTGTGTATCATTTTTATTGAGCTGGCTGATTGAAGGCAATGAAGGATTTCTAGAAACTAATCCATCAACCTCCCCAGAACATATGTTTATTGCTCCCAATGGTGAGTCTGCTAGTGTGAGCCGATCATCAACAATGGACGTAGCTATCATAAAAGAAGTTTTCTCCGCATTTCTTTCTGCGGCTGAGGTAAACTTGCTTTAATATTGTTGATTAAAGCATACGAAGCAAATGACTTCATCTGTGGAAAATTTGCATTTATACTTCACTGGGCTTTCCGAAACAGGTTTTAGGGAGAGACAAGGATGGTATTGTTGAACAAGCCCGAAAAGCTCAATCAAGGCTACGTCCAACTAAGATTGCGAGAGATGGTTGCATAATGGAATGGGTACAAGCTTGAAATTTGGAGGATGCATGTTGCTCTAATTTGATGGTAAAATTTTATATGCAATGCTTAAAGGATAGACAATTGATCTACCGTGTCATGCAGGTGAAAGATTTCAAGGATCCAGATGTGCATCATCGGCACCTTTCTCATTTGTTTGGTCTATTCCCAGGGCATACCATTGCTTCTGAGAAAAGTCCAGCTCTGATTGAAGCTGCTGAAAAAAGCCTGTATAAACGAGGTTAGCATAAGTTGAATAATTAGGTTACTTATTTCGGTCTTGTTGGAATTTCATTGTAGAATTCTTCCCTTGATTTGATTCATGATGCACTGCGTGGCTGAGTTTTGTTCCTTGTATCACTTTTACTATCCGGAGGTCCTTTACAATGACAAAATTTTGAATTCTGACACAACTGAGTTTGTGATATAACCTATGAAGAAGTTACTGTCAGCAATAATTTAAAGTCAACAATATTTCCTCATGTAAAAGGAGGTTGGGGGGGTATGTGTGTGTGTGAGCTCACTATTTTTTGAAAGGTATCTTGTTCCAAAAAAGAAGAAGAAGAAGAAGAAGAAGAATAAAACGTTTTGTTTTAAAACATCTTTACTCTTTAGCAGTCATGGTCTATAATCGGACGCATGAGAAACTAGACGCATGGATGTTGGAGCCATTTCGAACTACAAGATTCTTTTCTTAAACGACATTATGTTAAACAAAAGAAATATAACAATCTGTAGTATTATCTAATTTCCTGTATCAATTCAGCACTCTAATGAGCTTGTCATCGCATCAACGGAACACATGATATTGCTTGCGCTAAAGAAATAAGCTTTTTAGATTTAGATTTCGTCCTTGGAAACAGGAGAAGAAGGTCCAGGATGGTCGATCACATGGAAAACTGCTTGCTGGGCACGACTACGCAATAGTTCCAATGCATATGAAATGATCAAGCTTTTGATCAAGTTGGTGGATCCTGATCATGAGATACCATTTGAAGGAGGACTATATAGCAACTTATTTGCTGCTCATCCACCATTTCAGATTGACGCCAACTTTGGGTAACTTGTTCACGGCAATAGACTAAAATCCTTGTTTTTCAACAAATCTTTGTTCATCATCATTGGCTTAAAGAGACTTAAAAATGCCATTGTTTTTTAGTGATGTGCTTTTGTTCATGACATAACATCATTAATTCCGCGCTAAGCCCAAAGCAGCGTGCCTAGATGTTGATTTTAAACTTCTGTTGTTTCAAAGAATCTTCTATGCACGATACACTTTTGCTGTAGAATCTAAGATGACAGAGACTTGAAAAAGATTTTACGCTTTTTCCCCTTGAAAGAATTGACAGTAGTAGACTTGAGAATGATCGTGTACAGTTATGCTGTTGCAGTTTTACAGCTGCAGTAGCAGAAATGCTTGTACAGAGCACATTAGAAGATCTTTTCCTACTTCCAGCACTTCCTCAAGAGAAATGGCCAAATGGGTCAGTGGAAGGGCTGAGAGCTCGTGGAGGAACAAGAGTTAGCATAATGTGGAGAGAAGGGAATCTTGAGGAGGTTGGTGTTTGGTCCAATCATCACTCCACTCTCAAGAGAATTCACTACAGAGGTGCCATCCTCACTTCAAACTTTCTTCCTGGCGTCCTTTACAAGTTCAATGGACAGTTGAAATGCCTGAACTGAACCTACCGAAGTCTCAGAGGTGGAAGCTTCTTGACTTTTTTAAATATAAGCTCCTTGACAAACCCTTTATTATTATTATTATTATCATTATTATTAACGGTAGTGGCAACTTTGGAAGGCCCTCGAGTTCATGATCAAATGGCAATCTTGTTTCACTTTGGACTTCAATCTTTGAATGCTTATTGCAAAAAATGATCATTTAAATACTTCCTCAATTAAAAAATATAAGACATTATAATTTTAAGTAGTTACATATCTTTAAATTAATACTATTTTTTTATATTTATATCTATTTAATAGAATATTAGTGATTTATTTATTAGAGGTATTTTTGAAAAAATATCTTATATTTTTTAACATCTAACCTCTTAAAAAATACCTATATTTTTTAATAGAAGGAATATAAGTATAATAATTTATTTTCATAATATTTAAATTTAGAAATATTTAAATTGATATATAAATAAAAGAAAAATTAATTTATAGGTCTTTATAATTTTATTTATTTTTGAATTAAGTCTCTATAGTTTATATTATTTTAATCAAGTCTTTTTAATTTGATCTATTAAATATGAAGGTTAAAATTAACAATAAATTATTAATTTTTTTTTAAAAAAATATTTTTTGATCTTTCTATTAAAAAATGTATGATATTTTTAATCTTTTAAGGTGTAATCATTACCTTTTTTTTTTAAAGTGGCCTCGTTGATAATGATTTTATATTTATTATAAGGTGTTTAATAAAACATATGATGAGTTTAAAAATAGATAACTACTTTATTAAAAGGTGAGATTCGGTTAAAAATGCTTTATATTTTTTAACAGAAGGAGTATGTTTATAAAAAAAATTAATACTTTTAACTAGAATTAGAAAAAATTTTAATTTAATACATTATTTACGTTTTTATTAATTTTATATGTATAAATTATTTACGTCTTTATTAATTTTATATGTATAAAAATATTTAAAAGATAATCTAATTATATAAATTTTGAGTCATACAAATTATATAATTAATTCTAAAAATATATAGTCCTTTAATAAAAATATAAAATTTTTTAATTTTTTAAAAAAAATAATTTCAAAGATTTTAATCTTTAAAAATTGAAAAAATTAATTGATTAAATTATAGAAATAAAATAAATTGGAGGAATCTAACTCAAAATTTAAAAAAAAAAAACAAAGAATTATAAGTTTATTTTTGTCTAAATAAAAAGGGGTAACAAAGAAACAAAATCAAAACTCGGTAAGAAAGCAAAACGACATCGATTTGTCTCACCAATAGACGACTAAACCCTGGCAAAGCCCTCACTGTTGCGTTGCGTGTTCTATTTCTATGTTCTAAACTTGTGGCCTCGTCTCCTCCTAGATTGAATCATTTCAGTGCCCGGCAGAAGTCAAAAATGGCTTGGCGCTCTGGATCTCTGTCTCGCTCATTGATGACTACAGCTAGGGCTTCTCTCCGCTCCTCTCCACCGTCTCCCCTTCCCCGTCTTCAGCCGCCGCCACTCACCGCCCCTCACCTTCAGTTCCGCCGCTTTTCTTTGGGCTCTTCCAGGTACAATCCTTCGTCTGATTACTCTGTGCAACTACTAGCTTCCATTTCCATGTATATTTTTTAAATGTAGTGCTTAAGCAATGCTTAATCACAGACGATTCAGTTAAAGTATTTTGCCTTCCGATTCCCAGTTCAGGAATTTCTGGGATTCATTCAATTGATGGCTTAAAAAGTGATGTGGTGGACAAAAATGAAGATTTAACCTGAGATTCAGCAGTGGTTTAATCTTTTGTTTAAATTATCCACCATGTCAAATTCATCTGTTTATAATTGTATGCGATTAACTTCTGTTTCATAACCATAATCTACCAAGTCTGTTAGGCCAAGAAACCAAAATGAACCATGAACTTGCTCCTCATTTTTTTTTTTGACAATGTTACTTGCAAATGTCTGTAATTATGTTATGCTTATCATCTTTTTCCATTGACATAGGAGCTTGGGGGAATTGGGATGCACACAATCGCTCTTACCACTGCACAATACAATGGCTACTACCTGTCTCACGTCGCACTTCGCTGTCAGTGCACGGGCTTTTTGCGAGCTGCCCCATGGTACCTTCCGCCGTTCTTGTCAAGATCGCTAGTAGTTTCTTTGTGAGTCTTGCTGATTCTAGGACACATGAAAGACACACACACACACTCTCTCTTCTTGCGACCCCTCAACTTCTATAGAGAACCAGAATTGTAGGACATCGGCCTTATTATGTTAGGAATTAGTAAGTGCTGAATTGCTCATTCTGAGTGATAAGTTGGTTAGAGCTTAGATGTGTGTGAAATGTGAATGTATCTCGCTTGGTTGATAAGAAGGTATTAAGATTCGAATTTATAGGTAGGAATGGAAAAGATGGGTGATGCGCAAGGACATGGTTCATCCAATGGCATGAGAAGAATGCTGCATAGTGCATAGTAGGTTCTTTGTTCCTATACTAAGTTGTAAATTTCGTATTATTTATTTTCACTTCGAATCTGATACAAGTGAGTGACAGATGATTCCTAGAGGTGAACTGAGGCTCTGGTTAAATTTTCCTATACATCTAAACATCTATAGTAAGTTTTATTTTTGTGAGGCTTTAAGCCTTCTACGCATGCTGTTTGTTGTTGCACAATCTAACATTTATGAAACTAAATCTGCCCTGATCTTGTGTTTTCTTTTGCAAGCTTTTCATGTTTTCTTAGTCTGTTAGACCATAACAAATTGATAGGCTTTATCTTAGTTTCTACACAATTCTGGAAATTCTATGACTAAAAATCAAGGTGAAGATGATTGAATGGTTTTGGAGATGTTTCCATTTTATGCCACTCATAACATTTGTTACTTTGCACCAAAAAAATATGGAGAAAACTATAATGCTGTTCATATGTTCAAAATGGCTTTATGACCAGCCCTTTCACCAGTTCTATTTTTACATACTATGGGTTAACTCATTCATTCTTCTCACAGGTGATCCTGACTCGTGACTTTGGTTCTGAATCCTGATTTAATGTTATCATTAACCACTTTAAAACGACCTTCTTGACATCACTCCAAACCCTTTGCTTCTTACTGTGCCAAACAGATGGTGTAATTGCTCCCTGTATGAATTTCCTGCTAGGAAGAAAATTTGAAAGCTTCGAAAAGCAAGGGCACGGTTGTAAAACGTTTTATTCTGTCCATTCCTTTGGAGTATGGTTTAAATCTTATGCAGTACTCTTAATGTTACTATGCTATCAATGCTGCTTTCTACTGCTTTGATTCCTCAGTATGGTTAATTATACTGTGAGTGGAAATACTGGTTGGACGCTATGTTTTGCTTATAGACTTTATGGGTTCAATATCAAAATAAATTTCATGCGTGTCTGGAGTGCTTTAATTTTTGAGTTTTTCCTGTTTTTTATGTACCATTCAATTGGGACAAGTGACCTGACGCTGGATTTAAATTTAATAGGATTTTCTAAAATTATGATGCTCCATAAGTGCCCATATTTATGCAATTTTTGTATCCCCCACCCTTTTGTACTTGCAGGTACCTGATGGAGCTGTTGGATATGCATAGCTTTTACAAGAATATCAAGCGATGATTTGTAGTGAAGTGTTATGTAGGAAGTCATTTACTTATGAAAAAAACTTGTGGAAGAATCCTGATTCCCGATTGAGACACTATTTATGCAGTTTCTAGTTTGAGGGAGGTCCTACCTCTATTTCTGATTCGTGTAGGAATACCAGTTCTTGCTTGATTCTTGTATCTGGTCTTTTTAGGTTAAATGCTATACTTGCTCCTTGTTTCATTGCACTATTGGGGAATAATATGATTTTCTCTGCTCCATCTGAGGAGAATTTCGGATTTTGAATTTTTGATGTACCCTAAACAACGACCCAACAGAAACTAGTATTTGGTTTATATTTGGGACAAATTTAAAGTATAATCTTTGTTGTGTTTCTATCAATAAAAAAAAACATATTATTATATATTAATAATTATTTTATTCATACATAATCCTTCAAATTGAAATCAAATCCGCCACTGTGTGCTGTCAGGCCATACGCCATTGTACTTGAAAAAATTTTGTTCTTGACCTCGATGAGCGAACTGTAACTAGAACACTTTTTTTTTTTGGCATGTTTGTTATCATTTTTGTGAATTGACAAGCGATAAAACCATTGCACCTAACTCTCCATATTATCTTTTCTGATTGTCTATTTATTGGAATGGCTGTACTCCGTCTGAACTGCTCAAGAGCAAGAAATGCATGAAGTTAAAAATCAACACTGCCTTCGTCGCTTTGACGAAGTTGATGATGTTGACTTTAGAGGAGACACAGTGCGAATAGTCCCTGTTTTTCCTATTTGTATTTATCAATATAACCTCCAATATGAGCTCCATCAAATTCTACATCGTTTTCATCTCACTTCCTTGTCTAAATTATCTAGTTGGGTCGGATTAGTCATGTTTAATTTTAAATTAAGATCCCCTCCCTGCAGGAACACGATGAATGAAATAGTAAGATAAACATAACGAATCTCCCCTTTGATATAGGTTCTACCTTTATCTTTCTCATTACCATCATGTTAGTACTGAGGAATGATAACATATTCCCAAAAATAACATGTAAATTCAGCTATAATGAAAATATTCCAAAATAAATAAACGATTGAAAGAAGATTCAAGCAGGAAAATTGGTTAATTGAAGAGATGAACGATCTATTTGGATAGCGATTTTCAAGTTTCGAATGTGCTTCTGGGGGCTTTTGGAGGCAACATTTGATGTAAAATATTCTAGCTTTTGGAGGCACGAAATTGTAAATAGTTACAATATTATGAGAACTAAATCGAACTGGCCAATTTAACTAATTGAAGCAAAAGTGGATCATAGTTTGGTTTGCTTACAACAGAAAACCGCCTAATTTGAGAATTGGTTAAGAACCAATCTTCAAGCAGTCAAAACTAGCAAAATCAAGGAAAACATTGGTTGAACCGATCTTGTTATTTTTTTTAAAATCTTATTCATATTTATGAAGTACAATTTATACATATTTATACCTAATAAGCATCAATAAATGAAGAAAAATGAACAAATATGTGAAAAAAATATGTATATATATATATATATGTATATATATACATACATATGTATATATATATACATACATATGTATATATATGTATGTATAGAATATGTGTTATGATTTTATAATTCTGACATTAGTTAATTATATTTTGTTTGTTTAGAGGATATAGCCGCCAATTATGTGGGTTATAGCCATTGGGTATTACTTCCTATAAATATCTTATAATTCAATTTGTAAACTCTGTTAGATCAATGATGAGCCTTGCACACTATTCAGCATCTTCCTCTCTTCTATTTCTCTAATTCCTCTCAATCTTTCTGTTCTTCCTACCTTCCCTGTTCTTCTTTTGATCTTCCCTCTTCTTTCTTAAATTCTCTATCTTAGAGAATTACAAACTTGTAGCAACATGAATATATGTAAATATTTTAAAGTTATAAATTACAAATTAAGAAATAAGTATATATATTTTGGATTAAAATGAAGTGATACTAATATGGATGAATATTACCTTTTTTATTTTATATTATTTTGTTTAAAATTTAAAATTTTATTTTTAATTATTATGTATAATTATTTTTTCATTTTAAGCATATATTATTTAAAATATGTTAATTTATTTATAACTAATTAAATTACAGTTCAAATCACATTCGAATCATTTAACCATGAACTAAAATCTCGACTAATTTAATGATCAGTCCAATTTTCTTAACATTAAGTAGTTAGAAAGAGTGAAGCCCACCAAGCAATATGTGATTTAAACTCTCTTCAATAAAAATATTCCAAATCAAATAATTAATAGAGGGGGGTATTTTCATGGAGAAAGAGAAATAAAGGTGCTGTGGAAAAATTAAATTATACTTATTGAAGAGATTACAAATGATATTTTAATATTTTATGATTTAACCATTCTTGCATATTAATTATTACCAAAATGCTGCTGCCGTTAAAAAAGCCAATGGATAGGAATAATTCTTTGGGAAAATAACAATTAAAGACTTCACAAGACTATTAATTATAATTAGAGACCTTGAATTATTAAAATCTTACTTGAAACTAAAAATATATATGAATTTACAAAATTACCTTTAAATATTGAAATTACTATTACGGATTGATGTTATTGTTAATCTAGATTAGGAAAACCAAATCCATACTTGAAAATATGATTAACAATAATCCCAACTCATAGTAGTAATTTTAACAGTCTCAAACTCATAACGCATGGGATTTTGATTTTTTTAATTTAGATTAACAATAGTTTAAACCCATGATAGTAATTTTAATAGTGTCTTTTCTAAAATTTTTAAGTGATTTACCTATATATTAACAAATATAAAAATTTATAAGTAATTAGCTTTGTATTCAGAAATGATTTTGGCAAATTTTCAAGTAATAACTATATATTTATAAGTACCTTTTGAAAGTTTTACAAGTGAATTTTAGTTTTATATTGAAAACCCATTTTCAAGTGTGAATCTTGATTTTTTCAATTCAAATTAATAATAATCTCAATCTATCATAATAATTTCAGTAGTGTGTGTTTTTTTTTAAGTGAGGGTAATTTTATAAACTCACATGCTTTTGATTTCAATTAAAAACCATGATCCATTATTGATAATAATTTAAAATTTTTAATTGTAATTAATGATCTTATGAAATTTTTAGTTATTCTTTCCCCTAATTCAAACTACAAATATCTATGCCTTTTTCTGATGTAGCTACAATTCATTATTCATTATGCTCTCTTTCTCAATCAAATACTTTCCGCATCTGATATATATTATACTCCAAAATGCTGGACCTTTCAATCTAAAGATTTTTGTTAGGCATGTCACATATTCCAAATTTGGAATATAAAAGAAACTCATTTCATTTGAATGTGGCCTATTAAAAATGAATTAATATAAATTTAAACAAAAATATATCCTGTTTATTTAAAAATACAATTCGAAATTCTAAATCAAAGATATTTTACATTTAATTATTTTAAATTTAAAACTATTCTAAAAGACTCAAAACAAAATTAAAATCAGAACTGAGATAAAGCAAAGATCTCTTTTATATATATATATATATATATATATTTTTCAAGTGGTTTTTCGGACGACAAGCTGGTCCTCAAAGGCCTTGTCCCACAGTAGATATCCACTGCCCACTACAAAAGCTTGAAAAGGAACATCAAAGAAAGAGCCCCAACACGAAGACACCCAAATAGATATTATCTGCCTCCAACTCAAACACTACTTCAAAAATGGCAAGAGACCATCCAAACTCATTTCCTACTTTTACCCCGGTTATTGACAATAATGAGGGTCCCACTCTCCCCACGAACATTTCATATCAGAAAGCAATGAAAATCAAACCCACCCCACCACAACTACTGCATCTCACCCACTTCCCCTTCCCCATATGTTTCTTTGTTCGTTGTCAATGGAGGACATGGAACTTACAGGGGAATGCAATGTTTACCATACTTTGGACCCACCCCCCCCCCCCCTCTCCCTCCCTCCCTCCCTCCCTTCTCTCTCTGTACTAACACATAAGTATATTTATATGTAATTGTGCGTGCGTGCGTGCGCGCGCGCGTGTGTCTGATATAATAAGAACTGACCAATCTTAAAGAATGAAATTGATAACATGTCAGCTCGTAGGCAGGGCATTATATCTTCAAGGAGACACATTTTATGCAATCATATGCACGTAATGGGTGCTAAACCTAATAAAGTGCATGTTCCCTTTAAAAGTCCAATTTACAGTAGTGGATATCATACTATCATAATATCTTCGACAATTTAAAGAATTCGAGCATAAAGTTCGATGAAATTTATATAATATAAAACTCAAGTCTGGTCAAATGCTATTCTCATGAATAATTGAAATTTAGAAGGTGGCAAATAAACAAATTTCATCCGTGTACCAGTTGCCTAAGTGGATAAACATGAAGACTCCATCTTAAGACCTATCATATCCACCCTACTTACAAAAAAGATCAGCAGAAAGATTTGTTACATGATATGTGAGAAGCACATGGCAGGCAGTTCAAATAAGCTGTGATTTGATTTTGACAACAGATGGAAATGTTTTACTAATGTCCACCTTATGGAAGAGAACTGTGTGAGGATAAAATAGAAAAAAGAGAAGGATGAAACTGGAGAATCCCAAGATTGACAAGGGCAACAGTGAAGCTGACATACGCATTGTTCCCTGGAGCACCAAGCATCACTAGGTGGGGTCACTGATTATTTTGAGATAAGATTAAAAAACACATCCCATTTTACTTCCTTTACACAATGATACCCCCATCCAATTACCTTTCTCTGCTTTAATCTAAGCTTCAAAATGGATTCCAATAAGCATTTCCTTATATTCTACTCCCTTTTTCAAGTTTCAATTTTCAAACCTGAAACTCATCTCTTGGGATTTTGGGAGAAACTAAAATGATCATCCAGGGAGATGAAAGAACTTTCATAACAACCAAGGAACAAGCAAGTGAAAATGAAGATCCTGAAGAGTGGTTAAAGCTGAATCTGAGCTTAGGAGGCTCAACTTCTCCAGTCTCTGCAGCAGGAGACCCAGATTCTCAATCATCAAGAGCAGCAGCTACTAAAGTTTTCTCCTGCAACTTCTGCATGAGGAAGTTCTTTAGTTCACAAGCATTAGGGGGTCATCAGAACGCACACAAAAGGGAAAGAGGAGCAGTAAGAAGATACCAGTCTCAGAAGTTGATGATGACGATGAGATCTTCCATCAACTCACCATTTCATCGAACGCTTGGTGTGCAGCCCCATTCACTTGTACACAAGACTTCATCAAGCCGGGGTGGAACTCCAATAATGGCATCGAGCTTTCAAGAACTTGCAATGGCATGGGCCTCACCTTTCATGGGGGAGGATCAAAAGGATCTGGTGTGGCCAGGAAGCTTTCGCATGGATCCACCAGAGCAAGCCGAGGCGCCACAAGAATCGCTCAAGCTTGATTTAGACCTGAGACTCTGAGTTTTTCAGGCTGAAAAGGTTGGCTCGTGAATTTAAGCTCGAAAGCTGAAACAAACACAAGCAGGAGACCCATGACGAGGAAGAAATATGATGGTTCTACGTAGGTGATGCTATGACATTAATACAGACTTTGTACTGGCTTTTTTTTTTTTTTTTGACCAAAACTTTGTACTTATTATTCACCTTATAACTCCAAACTTGAAAATCCAATTTTCTCTAATTCAGCCAACACCACATGATAATGCGAAGAGATACATAACAAACCAGTTGTTCATCTAACTCACTTTCAAATCGATGGATTAAAGACCGGAGATAGGACTTTTAATTAGGGGCAAGATCACAAAGCATATATGCAATTGAAGGGGGGAAAAATATATATATATAACATTAATATAACATAAATATTTTAACATATTTATTCATACTCAATTTTACAAATATAGATCCAAAATAAATATATATCTTCATTTTTTAAGCTTTATTAATTGATTTCTCTAGACATAAGAATTATCAATTATCATGTTTGTAATGATCTTTTCAACAATCTCTTTTCTTAATATAAACTATTATTGAATTGGTGAAAAATTCATCTTTCATCTTATTGTGAAGTCATGAATAATTAGTTTTTTTTCTTAGACATCGATCTTTCACTCCTAAAAAATATGGATTATGAAATATTTTATGTAAATTATTAAAAAGAATAAAAAAAACTAGAAAAAATTATAAGACAAATTGTACAATATTATATATGTATGTATAGGGTATTGCAAATCATAACACAAATTGCACAATAAAATAATAAACAATGAAAAAGCATGGCATATGGAGATTGGAATGGCTCACCTTAATATTGTCCTTATATTTGCTTAGTTGATATAATGCTAAGGTCATAAGATTGATATTGCGGCTGAAGTCATCGATTCAATGAGGAGGAGATAAAAGCAAAGAGAAAAAGAAGACTGAAGGCCAAAGACAAAGAGATTGCTTTATTGATTCATCAATTCAATTAAGGTCATCGCTTAATTGATAATGAGATAATGAGATTGCTTAAATATTTGATAATAGGGCAATGCCAATTCAAACTCTCATTCGCAATGTAATATATGACATATATTCATCCACTCAAATGAGAAAACTTACCTAATATAATATATTATATTATATTTATATATAAAGAAAACATACTTTTATATACACCAATTTTTTTCAACTTTTTATATATTAATTTATATTTATTAAAAAGAAAATAGATATTATGTTTAATATCAAATACACACAACTATATTTTGGTGGGTTTAAAAATATATAATTTTTATATTTTATTAATAAAAAATTAAAAAGTTAAGGGAGTTGTGACCCTCAATCTACCCCTATCTCCATTTAAAGACAAAGGAAAACTAACCACGAATTATAATGTGGGGCCTGTTTGCTACAAAGAAATGGTTTTTTATGAAAAGAGGATTGGAATAAGAATTGAAAATATAATTGGAAATGGGGTTAAAGAGCATGTTTAGTATGCCACTGGAATAATTGAATTTAAAAAAAAAATTAGTAAAGACTCCTTGATCATATTTAATAAAAAAGAGAATCTTAAAAACTCTAAAATTAAAATGTTGAGTGAAATTATTTAGCTGTCCCTATTGAAATATAATTATTTGTTTGTTACTTTAAATTGTGTGTTTCCATACAAATTGTTATTCATTATCTTACATTAAATTTTTCACTGCCCTAAGTAGGGTAGTGAAAAATTTAATGTAGGGTAATGAATAACAGTATGTAGAAAAACAAACAATCAATGTTAGCATGATGACAACACTTTGAATAAAATCAACGAAAAATAATGGATAAATAACACATAGTATGGCAATGAATAACTTAATGTAGGGTAATGAACAATAACATATAAGGAAACAAGCAACTCATGTTAGCATGATAACAATATTTGAAATAAAATAAACTAAAAGTAATGGACAAACAACATACTATAAGGCAATAAATAACAGTATATAGAGAAACAAATAACCAATATTAACATGATGAAAATACTTGAAATGAAATCAATTGAGAGTAATGGATAAATAACAAACAATAGGACAATGAATAATTTAATGTAGGGTAATGAATAATCATATGTAAGAAAATGAGATGACAACATTTAGAATGAAATTAACTGAAAGTAATAAATAAATAACATATAATAGGGCAGATAATAATTTAATGTAAGGTAATAAACAATAATTCGTATATGTGTCATTTGAATATGTTTTATAAAAAAAGTTAATTTTATCATTTTTTTTTAATATTTTAATGTTACTTTAATGTTCTTGAACTGCAGTAAAGTTTCAAAGTTTTTGAAGTTTTTTATTTTATTAATTATGATCAAGAGATTTTTATTAAAAATTTTTTTATTTAATATTTATAATTATAATAGAAAAGTAAAAATCCTTGCTTTTTTTTTTTTAAATATCTGATCACACAAGTACACAACCCCTACTTCTGCTTCTCACCTACCATCGTTATTGAAATATGGAATCGTTGTCTTCCTTGTCTTCCATCTCAGCACCGATTTATTCTTATTCCACCTCCTCTCCCACTACTTCTGAAACTTTTAAGCACATATTACATACTATCTCCCCGGAATTTATCTAGTACCTTGTCAAAATGAATTTACCTCAAAATCTCCAGTAATCAAAGCAAGAGTTTTTTCTTTTTTTTTTAACAATTTACAAGCTAACAAATCCAAAAATCAAGAAATAATAAAAATTAGATAGCTTTGCCATCACAAGATCTGGAATTTATAGGGTGAAATTTTTTTTACAGACCAGACAAACACAATGAACGCAGAAACTCTGAGATCGAAGATGGGTTACCATATTACGATGTTGAAGCTTGTCCTACTTGAGCGGTCAAAGCCCCAAATGAGATGGGGGACTAGATACGGATATTAAACAAGAAAAATCAAGTAACAATAGTGGCCAGAAATCGTTAGCTTGAGCCATTGACTCAGATGAAGTAGGGCGCAGATCAAGGAATTAAACCCATCTGTCAGCTTCGTTTGGTGGCAGATTCTGATGAAGCAGAGAGCGTAGAAATCACCGATGACCAACAATGAGAAGGTAGGGACAATATTTGTGACGGAGATGAGCAACTGAGGGCGACGAAGATGAGTGATAGACAGAGATGAGCGACTTGATCGACGAGTTGCATGGCGGAGGAGAAGTCATGAGATTGAAGCAGAAGTCAATAATGGGTGTTGAAAATGGAAGGGTAGGATTGTATGAAAATTTCACAAGCAAGGATAATTTGGTCATACAAAAACCCATTCCCGAGAATGGAATCCATTCCCATGGTCCCCTGACGGAATGAAAATTACCTCAAATGAAACAGTGAACCATTCCATTAGAATGGGTTTCCCACGCCGCCAAACACTTAAAATGATCATTCCTTCTTTCATTCATATTCCTTTACCACTCATTCCCTCTTACAAAACAAGGCCTGTAGGTAAAAGTTGTGAGTTCTTTTTCTTTCCCCGATCAAGAGGGTGTCAAATCTACGACAAATTTACGATGTTGATGCCTCTTCCAAGCTCCAGCCTTCCATTTTGGCCAAAAATACGATAAAGCCCTCGACATAATATAACGTTTGAAAAAAGAAAAATATTATTTTTAAGATAGCTTCCCACAATGCAGACTTCTCCATTTCACGAGCTCAACAATGCAGGAAACATAATCACTCCAATTCCAATTATAGGTTCTCACCACTTTGTGGCCAAATATACAACACAAGACGAATATGAATGTATGTATAAGACCTACAAAGTAGTCATAATTTGTTTCCCAAGGACAGGCAACCTGAGCTGAGTTTGATGCAACATGAGCTGCTATCATTTACCAGGCAAGATTGAATATCATAAATCCATGATGGCAATAAATGCTTGAAGTATACAACTAAGCTGTCTACGTATTCATGTGCTTTACCTTGTGTAATGAAAGTCAAGCCCTCTGCCTCAATTCTGGTGGGGGAAAGACCTTGTGGGAATTGGGGATCTAAACAATGAAAATAAAAGAAAATGGACCACTAACAATTGTGTTTTCAGGAGGTGTCATGCTAAAATTGAACCACCTTGTGTGAATTTATGCAAACCACCAAATAAACTACAAATGGCACACTTTTTGACATTGCCATAATTAAAAGTAAATCCATCTTATAGGATCTCAATCTAGCAGAAGATGGATCACTTAAAATTTGTTGCCCAAGGCACCGATCAAGTTCAATTTCTCAGTATGAAATTCATTTTCCCTTCCTTGTTTTCATTTTGCGACTTCTTTGCACTTCACCAACTCTAGATGAGTGGACAAGCGGATTTGTTGCCGCACTATCAATGTTTGTATTTGCATCAGATTCCACAGTAACTGTCTTATGCTTCCTCTTCCTAGAGCTTTGGGATTTTGATTTCTGTATATTACCCTCCTGGGACCCTGATTTTGAGTTCCTCTTCTCATCACCAAGTACTATCTCATTTTCAACTCTGCTGGAAGTGGCACCCTGTGAAGCACTTTCACTCGCCCTGGCTTCCATACGTGGAGAATTCCGAAAGCTCCAACGAGCATTCTCAAACCATTTTCTAACCTGAAATTTTTTTTTTTTTTTTGGGGGGGGGGGTGTTGGGAATTTAGATAGAAGTTTATAATATAAGGCTAGAAAAGCATTTAACTGTGAAGAACAAGAGATAGGACCTGGTTGAAAGTAAGTCCAAGTTCCTGTGCCATGCTTTCTTTTGTGGTGCGGTCCGGGTACTGATTTTCTCGAAAGTTTTTGTAAAGTACCTGAAAATACAAATTCAGTCACTGTAAAATAAACCCTTCCTTTTGACGTGAATTTAAATTTGTGCTTGTGTGTGCCTCGTTGTAAAAGAAAAATTAGAAATCAAGCATACACACATCAATGTAAGTTGCAAAGCAGGTTGCAAATTGAATAATTGATAGCAAGAAGACAACCTTCTCATTCTCAAAGATGCCCACTTAAAGGCTTTAAGAAAAGGCGGTGCTATGAATATATCTGGAGGCCAGGATTTAATTTTAAAGACATTCAGCCATGATCAGAAGTGAGGAGGAGGGTAGCAGTGCAAATCTAAAACTTGAAAGCTTAACTGTGTAACTAAGATGACAATGCACCATTACCTTAACTGCATCTTCCCCAAGTCTTCTGTAAGTTGAAGATCCTCGTTTTTTACCATTTGAACCAGCCCTCTTAGAGCCTGCAAGTGATTTATTGGGTGAATTATCCATACTTTCAACTTCAGTTTGACGATTGTTTCTCCTAGGAGTACTTTCAGTCCCTTTCTGTATATGATCCAGTATTGAGGCTTTCCCATTTGGTGACACTGCCAGCCCTTCGCTGGTGACTTTCTTTTTCCTACTTAAAGCAGGACTAGCTGTCCAATCTTCATCATCACTAGTATCAGATGAAGCATTTTGGTAGGTCTCCTATAAAAGGAACAGTGATGGCTCAAAACGAGAATATAGAGAGCAATTAAATGGACCAAAAATAAAATAACTCTCTCCACACACTCCTGCAAGTGCATAAAAGCATTCAGGAAACTGCACCACAGCATGAGAATCATGTCTCCTTCATGTGAGAAAATCAGACAATGCATGCAGAATCAGACTAGCATTATATACCATAAACCAAGAGAGGTAACTTACATCATACAGTTTTTTGTAGTCCAACCTTTCAATATGTCTTTTCCCAGAAACAGGAGTAGAATCTTCTTCACCAGGATCTAGCTCTTGCAAAGATGATGCAGGTACGGGATGATTATCCTGTCCAGATATTGTGTTACCCTTGACTACATCAGCAAGGTCCTCAGAATCAGACGTGAAATCAGAACCTGAACTTTCTTCAGCTGCATCTTTGTCATGATCGACAGCACTAGGATCATAATCGTTGTCCTCTGAATCATCAGAAGGAAGGCCTAAGTATGGATTCCCACTGTGTGGAGCCTCCATTTTCTCAGAAGCAGAAGCATTCTCAGACTCATCAGAACTTGACTTGCCTCCTTCAACCTCCTCATCTGCTGTGACATCAGGATTATAATCATCATCATCGGAATCATCTGATGGAAGTCCCAAGTTGCCATCCACTTTATTTCCAGCAACTGCAGCTGCCTCTGGAAAAACCCTCTGAACAGCAGTAACGCACATGATGAGGAAAGAAAATCCATCGAGTAATGACTGAGGAATGTACAGAGGACAAAAACTTCCCACTGACCTCCCAGGAATCATAAATAGAGAGGCTTGTTCCTAAGAGATCATTAAGGAGATCAAAACAGTCATCTTTGCAATCACATCCCGGGCATAGCCAACCCTCATCATCAGGTGGAACTGTATGCCAGAAAAGTATATGCATAAAAGTTCAAAAAAGTATGCAGGCACTATATGATCAAATCAGGTGGTGAGAGGATTACTATTTTCAGATAATAATGGAGGTTCCAAACAGAACTGGTGAAATCCACGATCACAAACACCGTCACAAAGTATTATATCATTACCAGTGGTCAAGTCTTTGGACATGCATTTTGCACAAAATATCTGCCACAAAACATCTCAAGTCAGCAACACAGGTCTAGAGATCAAGTATAGACTACAATCCAGGGGAATTGCTTTTCCATTTAGGAACCAAATATAAAAGATCAACCTACATCCTCACTACAAATCTCTCCTTTGGAATCAAACAAGGATTGTGGAAGCCTCCCTTCAGCACACAATGTATCCAAATGTCGAAACAAATCCCTGATTTTCAATTTAAACCCAAGTATTTTAGACTTAGCACATTGAAGCTCCTTCTCGGGCTTTAATTTTTCCAAGCTGCAAAAGTAATGAACAATGAAATTAGAAACATCAAAAACTTCATGGAGGTTAAAGTAAATGGGGGGGGGAATTAAAAATAAAAAACAGATTTTCATAACTGGAATGCACAATCACAATAAATTTATGTTCGAATTATGAATGTCCAGTATCACAAGTCAGTATAAATTAGTCTAAAACACAAGTGAAGATGCAGTTGAGATCTTGAAGTACACTAGTACTACTGAACATGTATTTTTCTTTTCTTTTTAAAACTGGAACAATTATCATTTCTGTTGTCACTAGACCAGAACTGAATAAAAGCAGAAACAGACCATCTCATAAACAAATTTAGTTACTCCTGATCGAATACATGATTCCAGCAACAACAATATAGTTTACTTGATTACTTAATGTGAACAATAGACAAGAAATTCATTGAAAGAGAACAAAAAATAAAGTACTCTAAAACTAGCAATCTGTTACATAATTACAAAATCCAGCATTTCATATCATTGAGTTGATGGCATATCAAAAAGGGAATGGGACAGACAGCTAGACACCAAACCAAATAATCCCCAAGCATGTGAAGCATTCAAGATAAAATTCAAACTCTATCAAATTACTTTTAGTGGAAATATTTGTAACGTTTCCTTTTGGTATGCATAAAAATATAACTCAAAAGGTATATATTTATTGATCCTGGCAAATACGTGCATGGGTTGATGCATAAAATTAGAATGTGAGGTAACAAGGAAGGCATAAAAGAAATGCACTCCACAAGGTCTTGGTAAAATATAATCCTTTACTTTTAACTGGGCAAGTGACAATTTAATGAAAAACGCATGATACAATCTGAATATAATGAAAATCCAAGAACCCCACTCTTTTATTAAACAGCTTTGATGAAAATGCAACACAAGAATTAGTCTTAAAAATACCATGAGCAAGCATTTCTTTTAACTCAAAAGGTGATTTATGAGGAAATTGAGACTGAAATTTTGAAGTGCCACAAAAGCACTAAAGACAACTATAAAGGCGGTACTCCCTCCGTCCCAATTTATAAAACACTTATAAGAGAGAGATTTGACGTTCCAAAATAAGACACTTTAACAAAAATAATACTTCATTAATGATGAATTTCTAATATTACCCTCCCCATTATATTCTCTTTTTTTAATATTCTTTCACAAATAAAGTATTACATTAAAGGCACTTTTAGAAGTTTACATTTTTATTTTGAAAAAATAAGGCTATTAAGTATATTTATTAAGCTTTATTGGTATACATGATTTTGTCTAAAAGTGTCTTATAAATTGGGATGGAAAGAGTATCATTTTGTTTTCTTAGCAATTAAACAAATATAAATGATATTCTGAATTAGAGGCTATGATCCAAGGTAGATTAGGATGCAAAACTCATCTCCAAATATAGAATACAACTTAACCAAATTGCATCATAAATAGAACAGTTTACACACCTGTATCCTTTCCAGCCCTCACCAGAATAAGCATCAATCAAGCTCTGCTTATAGCGCACTTGACTTAAAAAATATCTTAGACGAGCTCTGATTCTTGAAAACTCATCAGTCACTCTCCTTCCTCTACCCTTCTTCTTCTTCTTCTTGCCTTTTCTTCTATTTTCTCCAACATGATCCACATTAACCAGATTAGTGTTTGATGTGGGTGGTTTAGGTTTTTCACGCATCCTTGACCGCAAAACTCTATCACTACTCCTTAGCATATATTTTTTCTTCAATGATGTTGCAGTTCTTTTATCCTTGCGCCCTACCCGGGCATGAGTTGCCCTTCTGGAGTTTCTTTGCAAAAAGTTAGGGCTACTTACCTTGGCAGTATCTTGAGAAGGTGGATCTAATTGTTCATTTCCACCACTTCTTTCCACAGGCTCATTATGAACACTTTGGGAGGCCTGCTGGTGTTTGTTCTGGAATTCATCATTAGATAAAGAACCAGAAACCTGTTTTAAGGTATCATATTGAAAGCATGAACCTCCTCCATTCTGGCTAACATTGTCTAAGTCACATTGAGATTCTGCTGGCAATTGAATAACAGAATCTCCAGTCATACTGTCAGAAACTTTAAGTTGTTTTCCATCAAGAAGAGAGCTAGTTTCCCCAGTACCTAGGACCTTTTGTTCATTGTTCAAAAATTCAGAGCCTGTCTGATTAGTTTTCTCTGACATTTCAAAATGAGCAGTTCTGGGATCAAATGTCTGCAACTTTTCTGAGGTATTATGGATATGGCACGTTGACCTTGCAGTTTTGCTACTCAAGTGATCTGAGGAAGCATCCATGCCAATAATCTTGCCCAGTTCTAAAGTATTAAGTTGAAAACTTGAACCTTCTTCAGTTTGACAGCTCTTGTCTAAGTCACATTGAGGTTGTACAGGAACTTGAATAACAGAAGTCCCAGTCATGCCATCTGAAGGTGATTTTTCATGAAGAAGAGAGGTGGTTTGCCTTGTGCCAAGAACCCTCTGTTCATTATCCAAAGATTCAGAGCCAATCTGATTAGTTTTTTCTGACAATTCAGAAAGTGTATTTCCCAGATCAAGTGTATGCAGCTGGTCTGAGGTATTGTTATTATGGCATCTTAGCTCCCTGGTTTCACTACTCATTTGATAGGAGGGAACCTCCATGCCGATTGCATTGGCCTGCTCTAAGGTATTATGCTGAAAGCATGTACCTTCCCCATTCTGACAACTGTTGCCTAAATCACAATGAGGTTCTGCAGGCAGTTGAATGGCCAAATTTTCAGCCATACCATCAGAAACCTTAGGTGATTTTTCATCAACAGAAGAGTTGGCTTCCTCAGTGCTAAGTTTTTTGTCCAAAAATTCAGAATCAGTCTCATTGTTTTTTCCTGAGGATCCAAAATGGTAAGTTCCAGGATCAGATGTATGTAGTGATTCTGAGGTGTTTTGGTTATGGCATATTAGCTTTCTCATTTCACCACTCATTTTCTCTGATGAAGCATCCATGCCAATAGCATTGGCTGCCATAAGTAGAAGGTAGAGCTGATAAGTAAAAACAAACAAATTGATTCAATTGGAGCTTTAACTGCAGTGTGTTTTGAACATTTACATCAATACCTAGTGAGGGAAACAACTGATAAGCATTACAATGTCCACAATTCTTTTGATGATGAGTTGTCTATATTGAAGATGATTGATCTGCGGGAAAAAAGATAGACAGATCCCTTTAGCTATCTAATATTTGCCAGTTCAACATGTTATATTGCAAACCAGAGTGAGACTCGGTGAGACTTGGGAATAGGTTCCAACATGTATATCATTGTATATCCTATGCTCCATTAACTTCGTCACAGAGTGGGAGAAATTGACAGTAATACGTATAAAATAATATTTTTACGTGTAAACATCCTCATTCTTTTTTTAACTTCAAAGATACCTGTAAAAATTCTCTACTGGATACAACTGCATTTCAAATTCACTAGTCGCTAAAAGAAAAATCTAAGCCACTAAATGTATTGAGCGTGAGACTTGGAGGGACAAGACACATCAATGCATCAACAGCTCAAACCTCCGGCTACAAATACTAATCAGCTGTTCCCAGCTGGCCACCAAAATAAACAAATACATGCAATATTCATCTCTTTCGAATGCTTAGTTCAAGTCGCAGCCTATAAAATCTGAAATTCTAAAGTCCATTTCTTTGCGAAAGATGGGGAAAAAAATGTAACAATGCTCAACAATATACGGCACTACGTGTCGCCTATTCGTGGAAAAATTTGAGTAGGAATGCCAATATCTAAGCTGGAGAGCTAAGTTCGCAACTTCTTGAGCACAAACAGCATCAAATAACAAAAGAAAAATGTTCGAATTACTTGCCCACACAAGTAGGGAAACAGAAACCCACCACTAGAGAATGAAAAGCCAAAGCTAAGCAAAATCAACCCTACCCGGGAATTAAAAACCTTACTTTCGGCAGCTAAGTAAAAAAGAGAAGGAAATTAAGCTATACAAGAAACTTACGTTATTGATGTGAGTAACAAAGTAGCCTCCTCACCCAATGGAGAAGGCGGTGAGGGGAAGATTGAAAAGGTAGCGGAAAAGAAGGAATTCAATTGGGGTTTCGGTTTGGATCCAATGCGTTATCCTGAGAGTCGAGAAAGCCGAGATAGAAAATCCGAGCCACCGTCGAAATTTTCACCAATTTACCAAAGTAGGGCTTAAAATTGAATTTCAAGTTTTATTTGTCGCACTCGCGGCGTTTCCGGGTCTATGCGGTGCCAATTTCGTTTGAAAGAAATCCCTAGTACTTTGTACTTACACTCGAGCGGGATAGCCCATAGATCGTGTTGAATCATTCAGGCAATAATTAGAAAACAAACGGAGTGAAAAAGGTTAACTAAGATAAAGAAATGTTAAAAAATTTTCCTTTTAAAGGCAAAATAAAATTATACTTTTTTTTTTTTTGAATGACAGATTGGAGTGTGATGGTCTACAACACCTCGCCTAATACAAAAAAAGCTGCGGACATGGTCGCCAAACAAACTTTGTATTGTCTTGTTGGTTTTCTTTTCTTTTTTTTTCCCTTTTCTTGATTTAATTGTTTGCTTCAGCATGGCACTTTTACTACTAAATTTTCTCCCTTATTATTAAAAAAAAAAAAACAGAGAAAGAGGCAAAGCAACATTGTATATGAAAGTCAATGTATGCATTAATTTCACATTGATCCAGCATTAAAAACGTAAACATGGATGAACTGGAAAAATTTAGCCAGTAGTCAGTTGTATCTTGACAAAGATACGGTAATGTAAGGTAGGGTAATGAATTGCACGAAGTTCTTGGTCTAAAAAAAGAGAACAATTTAACTTTCTATGAATTTTTTGATATACATTAAAGGACATATTAAATGAATTATTCATATTGAACGCATGTCGGATTGATAAACCGAGTGGCAGTGCAGACACCTGTAACAGGCAACTGTAAAGTTAACTGAAAAACTAAAATTGTTGAAAAATTTATCGAGTACGTATCTTGAGAACGATTTCTTTGAGCCAATAAATTCGACAACTTCAGTTAAACCAAAATCTTCAGAAAATATGCTACGAACAGATTAAAATCGGATCTGAGATTTTATATATTTTTTATTTAAAATATTATTTTGATTTTATAAATTTATTTTTCATCTAAAAAAGTCTTGAAATGAGAAATTTCCCCCCTATACATAAACACTGGCTCAAAAACTAAGGCGTTATTTCTTTTACCATGAAATGCTACACAGTAGTGGCTTGGCTGCAAGCCATGGGATAAATATAAATGGAACAACTCATATATTTATATTTATATTTATATACTATGTAATATGCTTGTATTTAAGTAAATGAAGATATATAAATTTTTAAATATAATTTATTCTATAAGAAATTCTTTATTATTATTAGCATTATTTTTAAATCCATCTAATTTAATTTAATTAGGTAAAAGTATTTTAAGTATATAAAATTTAGTTCAAAAAGCTTCTCTAAAATAAATCTTTGGTTAAAGTATGTAACCGAAATGCCATTGATCTAAAGCAATATGAAAATACATTTGTCTTGAAAAATGTCCAGACATAGCGATTAGCCCATCACTAGATTGCCCTTCAAACTTAACTAACACATTCTCACTTTGTTAAACAATATAAAACATTTTTAATTAAATCTTACTCATCAATAAAATAATTACTTATTTTTAAATCAATTCCATCTTTCTATATTATCCTTCTTAAACACCCTATAATAAATATAAGAGAAAATTAATCATTTAATTCTTGTAGTTTTAACCTAGTTGTGATTCAGTTCCTCAACTTTCCTTTTGCAATTTAATTCATGAAGTTTTGACCTTTTAAATATTGATCCCTATATTTTAAAAAATTTAATTATAAAGATTAAAAATATTTTAAAATTTTAATATTTATAATATTTATAAAAATTAAAAGGGTTTGATAATTTAAAATATTAGTAATAAATTTTTAAATATTTTTAATCTTTATAATTTTATTTTTAAAATATAGGCATCAATATTTAAGAGGTTGAAAATTCAGAGACTAAATTACAAGAGGCAAAATTCAAGAATTAATTTACAACCGAGTCAGAACTTTAAAAATTGAGTTATAACGAGTCAAAATTTAAAAATTGAGTTACAACTAACTCCAAACTATAACGATCAAAAGATTAATTTTTTTTAAATATAAAGTAATTTATTTAATAAGTCTTAGAGAAAAAAAAAAGATAATAATTACACTTCAAAAGACTAACTTATATTTTTAACATCTAAGTCTTTAAAAATTATCTTATATTTTTAAACAAAAACAGTGCTATTTTAATTTTAATTATATAAATTTTGCGTTCTTAAGAGGACAACCTCTCAACGGTACGTTTCGTTTTTGGGAAGCATAAAATATCAGCTGCGGTATCAATTGATAAACACTGAAACGATATTACAGACACTTTGCTTCAGAAATTAGTCATTGAAATGAAAGAATGCCAAGTATCAGCATAACTATATATAACATAAAATTTATGACGCGTAACACTATTCAAAAGTCAAACAATACAATTCACCTCATTCTATGTGCAATGTACATAAAAACATTGTCCACTACACATTTTTTTCTTTTTGCCCACAACATGTCCACCGCAGACTAAACAGTTCATATTAGGATTTAAATATCTCATACCCTCTTTCCTATCAAAGTATGATGGAATCCCAGTGCTTATTCTTTATTTCAAAGGCCTTTTTCGGTTGGCCTAAAAGAATGGCACAACTTATGGACGAGCAGTAAATATCAAGAAGGAAGAAACTGAAAATACATATAACATGGCAAACAAAATAGCCAAAGATTATAACAGAGTCACGAAGTGTAAATAGGAAGAGAAATGGAAGACTGGGCAAATATGATGCAACAACGAAAATTTTACGTTCAACCGTCAACAGGCCATACAGAACAGGAAACCTTGCTGATAAATGGTTCCCAACTATAACTGCAAATCACAAGAACTCGTCCATCTCAAAACGCGCAAATTTACTTCTAATGTGACAAACATCCTTAACATAACCAAGTGATGATAACAAATGATCTCACTGAAGTATGATCCTCTCTGAATCAAGCACAACATGTAGAATCATGATGGCTAATTTTCTCCGTCACCCAACAAGGAAGTGGATGAGATCATATATTGAAGACATCGCCGAAGTGGTGAGTTTCCCTGGAGAACCAGTTATAAACAAATTATCAGGAAATGCAAGTTATTCTGAGTCTGATGAGTCTTCCCTACTTCTCTGCCGAACACTTCTTGTTTGTGCATGGGACCTTGCATGATTAACTGATGATTCACCCTCAGAAAAGATTACTTGAGCTTTAGCCAATCTTTCCTCCAGTTCCTCCGTGCTAAACTCGTCAGTATTCCCAAGTTGATCAAATCCCACCTAACCCATACAACCATATCAATTTGCAGATGTTAAATTAAATAATGAAGAATTAAAACCCCTTAATGCCTAACATATATGGCAATGAACATGCACATTCACCCACTCAAACCCACGCACCACATAATCATCAACTTTGGCATTCTTTATGAGGGCGAGAGTTGGAAGAACAATGATCTTGAGCCTCTCAGCCAGGAACGGACTTTTCTCAGCATTAATTTTCACAAACCGTGTCTCAACATGCTGCTTTGCCAGAATATTTAAGTGCTTGTCCATGACCTGCAAATAAACTGCAAACATTAAATGTTTCTCCAACTAATCGAGTTCATACAGAAAGTCACCATGTTAAGAAAAGCACAAAATTTGCGAGGGTCGTTACTTATTTACAATTTTAACATGCTGGGCTGAGATTCGATTTGTATGGCAGGGTCTAAGCCTACTTTCTACTACAGTGATGATACTTGCAGTGCAGTTAATAATTTGATCAATCCCATGTGCATGAATAGATGTAGATATTTCCAGGTTCTGACCTCAGTCAAAGTGAAATCATAGCATCAAAATTGAGACACGAAACATCATTATATTTTGAAAAAACTTATATTGTCAAGAAACGAAGGGAAGTACCTAATGAAGCAAGAGGCAGTAAACTAATTGCTAAAAGAAACATATATATGTCGACACACGACAAGTAAATAATAGCTATATTGTTTTCTTTTTATGTAAGCCCTCTTAACACGCCGCATTACTACATTTTTACGCAGCGCATTTTGGTCCAAAAAATCCAAATATTCAATATTCTACTAGGGCAATGCCATAAAGATAAGTTGAAGGTTCGGTTAGTAAACTTCATTTCCATATGAACATAACTACTTCAAAAAGTTGAAGAACCACTAAAAGGGCAATTTTATCAGCATTGAAACTCTTTTTCTAAGGTTACTCATGAAATCTTTCTAAAAGCAGACATTCAAAGTTCATGATAGAAGAAAAGATCCTAAGCTCTTAATACAACATCAAGGTTCATCTATCAAATATCTCTTCTTTTCCGTTTAGTAAAACTTAGTTCACTTAAGATGTCATATGAACTCCCCCCACCCAAAACAAAAAACAAAAAAACAAAAAATAACCACGAGTGGGGTAGTAATTGTTGCTTCCAGCTGAATTAGAAGCATCATGCGATTCAAAGAGTCTTACTTTGACAGGCAAAGAGGTACTTTATCGCGTTTATAATCAAAATTTGCGTTCTGCTAACAAGTATGCTTATTGCAAGTTTTAATTAATAAAACAACCCATATCTTGCATATTATTTAAAAACAATGCTTCGAAAAAATGCCAAATTGCAGTAACTAGAAAAGGGTGGAAAACGAACTCCAAGATTAACTCTCCAGATAATAGCAAGACAAAAAGGCACGAATTTGTACCTTACAGGGCCAGTTTTCACGGTAGAAATGGCAGACAACACGCTCACTGGCCTTAACGACGGAGAAGAAGTCTTTCTCAGAAGGAATCTCAGAGTATTCTCCATGTCCGAGAGAAATCCATCGACTCCGCTTCTCTGCCATCTTCTTCATCTGCTGCAGTCTCCGCTCCCTCAATGCCTCCAGATCGTCGACATCCAGTCGGTCCAGGGCCGCGATCTCCTCATCGATCTTGTCCTCAACCGCCTGCACCACCGTCAATACCTGCTTCTCGATGACTTCTTGAATCTTAGGGTTATCCATCTGCGAAATTCTGAGCAAGATCTCTCCTTCCCACTCTTATTTTCGAATGGGAACGAACGACTCGATGGAAGGCAAAGCTCAGGCCTCAAAGTGAGAGAGAAACTGCAAGCCGATGTCGTTTTAGTGTCGCAAATCTCAATAGACAATGTTTGGGCTACTTTTTCAGGGCGAAACCATCACGATGGGCGATGGCCCAGCGCGTAATTGCTCGTGGGATATTTTTGTATATACATATCGGGCCTAGCCCTACTTTCCACCAAAAAATAAATTATATATACATATATATCCATGAATTACACAGACATATACTTCCTCCATTCAAAAATAAAAAATATTTTTTAAGGAATTACATGTTTAAAAATGTAAAATATTTTTAATCTTTTAAGGTGTAATCATTATCTTTTTTTTTCAAAGTGTCTCTATTGATAACAACTTTATATTTATTGTAGGGTGTTTAATGGGAGTAAATATAAAAAGATAAGGTTAGTTAAAAAGTAGGTAATTACTTTTTTGAGAGATGAAATTCGGTTAAAAATGCCTTATATTTTTAAATGAAATGAGTGTTACCAAAGAATAAATTGGAAGCTTCAGAATGAATCATTCTTAACAAAAACTCTTTCCCTTTTTTTCCCAACCAAAAACAAAAGGTTGATTCTATGATAAAAGATGATATTGAATTTAATAGCACCACGAGATGCTGAGATGTCCTCCGGGCACGCGCAACAAATGAAATACTAGGCTCCTTGTTTTATTTGTCTTCAATTTGTTCAAAACCTACAAAGGAATTGCCAAAAGCATGATATAAAATCCAATAATTTAAACAAAGTAACTTAGAACTTGTCCCTTGTATACAAGGCCTGTCAGAATTCAGACCTCGATGGTGAAACTCTCCTCCCCTGCAATATACTGCCACTGTGCATGCTTCCCTTCTCACACTAATTTGAGGAAATAGTTTCACACCACTTGGCTTCACTTCATTCGTTTAAATTGAACTAGTTATCCATTTATATTCGAAAGTTGAATTTCAAGAAGGTGGTTCTTATTTTGCTGTCATCATTTCATATTACTCAACATTATAACTAAAGCGGTGCAAAAGCCTGGGAACCAGGTCGGTGCGATCTGGTCCAACACAACCTGATATGTTTCAAACCCCAAAAACATAGCTTGAACAGGGGAAAAAAAAAAGACTGGACAATGGCAGATTTATTATATTAAATATGTTTAAAAATAATATACTCTATTAAAATAACTTGAACTATTTAATTAGATACTTCATAAGCTTATATATTTATAATTTATTTTTTAATTTTTAAATATGAAATTTTTTTATATTTTAATATTTCTTCTATTACTTTTTTCTCTCTCTCTCTTTTCTCCATCTTCTTCTTTTTCTTGTCTATACTTAAGTTTTTTTTAATTTCAAAGGTTTTAAGTCTATTCAATTTCTTCTTATCTTTGTTCTCCTTATTTTTTTTAATCTCTTTCTTTCATTCTTTCATTTTTTTTCTTCTTTCTCTATATTTCTCTCACTCTTTTTAGGTTTTCAATCAAATGACTTATAATACCATATTAAATTTGCTATATTAAGTATGCTTAATAATATAATACTGCAATAAAATAGTTTAAGTTGTTTGATTAAATATTTTCCTAAACTTGTATATTTATAATCTATTTTATAAGATACTTCTATATTTTTAATCTATTTTATAAGATTTAGATATAAAATTTTTTTTATATTTTAATATTTTTTATATGTAAGACTCTTTTTATATTTCAACAGACAAGACTAGATTGATCATCTGAGTCAAACTGGATTTCAGGTTGACTCTTTGGACCAAGTGGTATGGTCTAACCCAGTATTCTTTTATTTTGTTTATAAAAAAAATTGTGGAAAAGATTTCAAGGCTGTCGCAATACCCCAACCCCCAATTCATTCATTTGCCAAACCACCCAAGCTCATCCTCCCTCACTTTCGGTGGCCGACCACCATCATTCCTCACTTTTCCATTTCAACTTCAACGCCCTTCTAGCCTTCCTCTCATCTTCTCCATCAATTCATCCCCTCACCCTCCTCCACAAGACAATCGTGAAGAGCTGCGAGAAGAGCCACAAAGAAGAAGAGAGTGCATAATAGTCGAGAGGCGATAAGGGGACCTTCATTGTTTAGATCTAGTGATCAATGTGCTTGGCCTCATGAAGAGCCATGAAGAGAGCCACAATGAAGAAGAGACTGCATAATAGTCAAGAGGTGATAATGGAACCTTTCTCAGGCTCAGCCATGATTCATAAAATTAAAGTTCGTTTGCTTTTGCTATTGATGAGAAGGCTACCGTTTTGTGCTTATGCTTCCTTGTCATCGATGTGCACTAGTCTTCTCACCACTGACACGTTAGTCTTCTTCCTCCATTATTTGCATTGAATGCTTCCTCCTCCTCTATTGCTGTTCATGTTTTGTGGGGTTGTTACGGTGAAAAATGTTAGCTTTTTGAAGTTTCTCTCTCATGCTTTAGAAACATGACGTTGATAATTTTTTTTTTTTCATTTGTTGCTTTTTCCTTATTAGATTGAATATTATGTACCGCTGAACTGAGTGCTTCTCCATCTTCTCCATTGACTGTTTATCAATCACAGAAAGGGGAAAAAGAATCAAGTGGTCTGGCAAAATGGTCTCCCAACCTGGTCTAACACCGGGTTTGCTTCGGGGCAGACCGGACTCCAGACTGCAAAGTTTAGCCTGGAGAATTTCAAACCGGACCTTGGGTTGATCGTGAACCCAGTCTGGGCCGGTATTGGCACATTTACAACAGTTGCAATGAGATAAGCGTGCAGATTCTACTAGGCCTATATGTGACTTTGAACCCAACATGCTAGCTCCAAACAAAAAGCCATCGTGTTAGGAGTTCGGACCCTTTTTCTTCGAAGGCCGATCTGGGACCAAATTAGTACAGCCATGGACCTTAAAATGTTGTATCTGGCCCAATACTCCAGGTGCGCTCCTTTTATATTTTATGTTTTGTGTTTGAACCTTGAAGCACTCCTTCAAATCCACTCAGATTTATGTCAACATAGAAAGCACGTTCTGTTCATGGTTAATGCATCCAATTTATAACTACCCACGTGGTGTTTTTTTATTATATCTAAAAAATATCACTTTATTGATTACTGAAATTTAGCAGTTCGTGGTTTTAGAGGTTGTAAGGCATAATATTGGCATGTCTGTCATATTTTCTCTTTCATTCGTGGTTTTACAAGTTGTGACAATTATATTTGAAAAACGGTTGAACATCAAATATAAGCACATTTTCTAACAACAATTTAAACTGTAATTTATTTTGTGCGAGATTAACCCATTCTGGTACATATGTTGATAGCTGCCTCTCGCTCATATTTCCGATGAATGTATATTTAGTGGACCAATACACGGGGCCTTACCTTTTGGTGATAGAAGTGGATAACAGTGAATGAAAGAGAGAAATGAAAGGAGTTGAAGAGCTTGACCTCTTGACTAGTCTTGAGGTGGTAATGTGGGTGGAGGATTAGTTGTAAAGCTGAGGAGTCTCAGTCGTCCACCTCCACTACGCCATATAGCCTGTGAGTGGTTACGATGAAGGCGGTGGTGTCTCATGTCTCTCCATCCGACTGTCGATATTTTTAAGGTAGCTGGTCCAATCAAAGATCTGTGTTCCACGTGCTCCGACGCGGATGCCCAGAGATTTGGTTCATTACACACATCACTCCTACGTCTTGTCGTTTAATGCCCCGTACAGCCCGTTCTACTCGTCAAACAAACCTATCTCGCACTTACCCAATCAGGTCTTCAACGTTTACATGATTAATCAGCTCCTCCATAAAGGGATACTTAATTAAAGTATTCATGGAGCAACTCCGTACAATTTTTTTAAATATTATGAATACTTTTTATTGGGAAAAAAAGTATATGAAGAATTCACTTAGACCTCTTGGTCTGGACGATGGAAAGGCAATTCTTTTTCCTCGCACAGCAATTGAAATATGAAAAATCTAATATTATATTGGGAGAATTATATTGAAATTCTATATTGAGAAATTAGTTATCATAAAACCTATTAACAAGTGAATTAAAGTCATTCATAATATAGTTGTGGCTTTAGTTGCATTGTTAATGTTAATGAATATTATGGTAACTAATTTACTTATGTGTTACGTGTATGTAATTTTTTTTATTATATTTCTATCATCATTGCTTAATAATAATTATCATTTTCTTTTTATCAATAGTTTTTACGCAGGGCACATGGCATTTGAGTGTGTGTGTTAAAGCGGGCGTTAAGTCTTATAACTTTCTACAAAATTTTGTTTTAATTTTTTAATTTTATAAAATATCTTTTAATTCTTTATTATAATATCACATGATTAGTTTCATCAACAAACAAAGAATAGTAACAAAATATTTACAAGTATTGATATATTGATTTTAATATTTTAAAATAACGATCATTAATACAAAAAATAATAATTTAAAACTAATAATATTAACATTAGATAATTGAAAAAATTTATAAAATTAAGAAATTAAACTGAAATTTTATATAAAATTATGAGATTAACGGTGCACTTTAACCATATATTCATAAAATTTTTTATTCCAAAAAAAGATAAAAGGAGAATGACAAATAAATCCCTCTAAAATAAAGAGATGACAATTTAGTTCTTCAAAATATGATAATGACAATAAGATTATGACTTCTTAGATATTAAATTTTTTTGTGAAGTTACATTATTATCCCTCTACAGATTTAGAAAGTTATAATTTTTTAAATTGTTTTAGTCATTAGTGACACTAAACTTATAAATAATTATACTAAATATATAAACCATATAAAATTAGTTGAATTTTACTAATTGAAAAAAATTGTTGATAGAAAGTTGTAATTTCTTAAATTGTTTTATGCATTGATGGAACTAATTTTGTGAATACTTATACCAAAGTTATGAACCATATAAAATTAATTGCAGAATGAGTACTAAAGTAATTTTACACAAAAATTTAATCTAAAAATATTCCTTAAAACCTTAATATTATTCTCATTATTTTTCTATCTCCGAATAACTTATCTGATATTCTCCCAAAGATAACCTTGTGAATTTACTTTTGTATTTTTTGGCAGAGACAGAAGCGAAAGAATCTGTCAACGCACCAGGAGAAGAACAGAAACCAGACGAGGAGATGGCTATTTCTTTCTTTATTTTTTTGGTTGGAAAAGGATGGAGCTGGAATTATTTAACAAGAGCATGAATAATGAATATAATAGCAGAATAGTATAGCAGCATGTGGAAGCTCTATCAGGCCAAAAAAAAGGCATGTGGAAGCTCTGGGCTCCATTTGTCATGTTTGCTCGTGTAGGTGTATGTGGTGTCACAAGAGGCCTAGTGAAAAATTCAGCCTTATTATTCATATTACCATCTCTTCTGTTACGCGCCCACCTACCTAGCTCCCATCTCATCATTCTATTTTCTAACTAATTAATCTGACACATTTAATCCACCCACATTGCTCCAATCCCCATTTATTTATTTGTTATTCATATAATCTTCTTTAATTACAATATTTTATTTTATTTTATTGTTTGAATAATCTCTCACATGTTATTTCATGGTTTCTCTCTACTACCAATAAAAATAGTTATATCCTTACGTCCAATAAAAAAAATATTTACACGCCTTTTCCTTTTTTTTAAATATTGTTCTAATTTTTTCGAATTAAGAGTGCAAGGGCAAACATCCCTTACACTATGACTAATTTTATGTTTTAAGAATAGTTTTATATTCTCCAAAATAAAAGGATAAAAAAATTTATTTGATAACTTATTTTTTAAAAAAATATTGTCAAAAATAACAAATAAAATATTATTATAAAGAATAAAAAATAAAAACATCTTTTAAGTGTTTTGAAATTATTATTTTAAAAAATAAGTGAAAATAAGAAAAATACTCATTTTTATTATTTTTTGTTTTTAAAATATGTTATACAAAATATCAGTTTTTAAAATAATAAAATAAAAATAATTTTAAACAGACCTTAAGTTTCATGGTTAATATGAGGAATATAATAGTTTTAAATTTATAGGTAATTAGTGTATTATTTTGAAATAATTAACGTGAATTTATATTGAATGAATAAACAACTTCGACAAGCTTTGGTATATTTATGAGAAAGCTAATTATTATTATATTTTTTTCACTTGATGTGATAGCTTGTTATAAACTTTTACAGCCTTGAGATGGCAGTTAAGAATTATTAAGTACAAGGTGTACTCTCCTAAACCATGATCATTACCATTGCAATGGTGCTGAGATTGTTGGGGTCTTTCCTGTGCTCTACGCTTTTTTTGCAACTGGGTCGATGGGATGAGAAAAGTGAAAAGGTGAAGCATCATATCCAACAAGAAGAAGGCAGCGTGATGGAAAGAGGGTTTGTTATATCTGAAAGCTTTATGAAAAGCCAAAAGCAAAGATGAGAGACACAAGAGGAGGTGAAGTGAAGGATATTAAATATAAGAAGAGGAGGAGGAAGGTATTGAAAATTGAAATGAAAATGCCTTTGTCCATAAGGAACCACAGCTTTCACGACTGTGGGCCTCTCACTTCACTAATCATTCCCTTTCTGATGCAAGTAATTGCTCAGTCCCCACTTCCTTTATCACTTCTTCACTTTCATCGCCCAATCCCCCTCTCTCCCTTTATCTGCTTTTAGTCGAGTTTCATTTTTTATTACCACAACATTCTATTTACATATACCCCATCTATATTTGTTAACTTGCCTTTTCTTTTCTTTTTTTTTTTTTCAATATTCTAATTTTGTTATACATTCAATTCAACAATTTAAGTTTTATATATTCTGTTCTCTCTCTCTCATTTTTCAACAAATCAACCGATATTTCAAAAGTTATGGTACTAAATTTTGATTAATTTAAATTTAAGTCGAGTCTTAACTTGAAATCTCTTGCTTAAAAATTATCCTAGCCTCTCCCACTATAATCAATTTATGTCGACAACTTGTGTTCTCATTCTACCTGTCTAGTCGCCCTTTATCTAAAATAAACCTAATAACCTGTTATTAATTCTTCCTAGGTTAAAAGTGAATTGAAAAAACAATTGTTAATTGGTGCATTGATGAGCGAGAGAGATTTAAACGGACTGGGTATAGTTTGAACTTATAAATAAATAAAAGTTAAGTCAGCAAACTATACCCCTTAAGCATTATTTTTAAGGTTCAATTTCTAAAGGTGTGTATGAAAAAATATTATTTTCTCTATCTTAAATTATAAGATACTTTTAGCTAAAATTTCATATACTAATAAACTACATTAAATACACCTAAATAACTTTATTTTTTCAAAATAAAGTTATAAACTTTTCAAAATATTTATCATTTAATATAATGAAAAGAGAATTAATGAAAATTAATTGTAGAGAGAGAAAAGGTAATGTTGAAATTAGATCATTTAATGAAATCTTAATATACTCAAAGTATCTTATATTTTGAGATAGAAAAACTTTTTTAAAAGTACATATAATTTAAGACAGATGGAGTATTTTGGAGAGGACAATCTAAGAGATTAATCTCATTATGATTGGTTGTGAAGATACCTTAGGCAACGAACAAAAATTGAGTTAAAAAATTTTTATATGACTATTTGATCATGCTTAGTTGATAATAATTATTTTAAAGATTTTGTTTCTTTATACTTACACAAACTCAAATCTAAGATCCATGCTTAAACAATCATCACCTATTTCATTGTGATCAAGTCAAACAATTCATTTATAATGAGTTTGACAATGGTAGACTAATAACTAGATGACATTCAATAAAAGATAATTATACAAGGAGGTGAAATGGGAGAAAAAAAAAAAGAGTCTAGAAGATCGAGCAGTGGATCTTAAACTAAAAGAATGAAACCGTAAAATCCGAAACAATACATTAATAAACAGCGAAACTGCGAATGAATGCTAAGAGGCATTGAATTGAAATAAATAATATTTATATGGGGGTGAAGCACATATGAAATAGCAGACGAATTAAATAAAACAAGAGCAGCACGGTTTGACTGTATCTTTCTCTTTCCCATGAGCTTTTTCTTCTCCATAGGAACCGTAAGCCCAACAACGCACGCACTGGCTTCGCTTCTCAAGGTTTGCGCACGCACGCACTTTTCCCACTCAACTCTACAGTCACACTCTTCAGACGTTTTCTTCTTCCCATCCATTTTCCCACTATCGCTTTCCTTCATTATCTCTCGCTTCTCCTCCTCCTTTTTCTATGAACAATTGCTTTTCTTTATCTTCCCCGCCATTTCCCGCTCCGTATCCCCTTTAGCTTCTTCACCCCAAACTCCGTAAATTCATCCTCCCCGGCTCACAATAATCTGTGAGTGCGCTCTCGGAGCTTTTAGGGTTTTGTTTGTTTATTTGTTTGTTTCCTTCTCTCTTTCCATGGAAAGGAAACAGGGTTTCTTCGCTGCTCTCAGAGAAGAGGTAGTTCGTGGGCTCTCGCCTTCGCGTTCTCGGGCCAACAGTCCCGGACGAACCGGGTCGCCGATGTCAGGCTTGCTTTGGAGGAAGAAGCAGAGCAGTCATAACTTTTTGGTGAATCCTGATTCTGCGTTGATCGCGAGATCCGGGAGCATGAGAGTGTTGGGTGAGACCTTAGCGCCGCTCATGGAGGGACCCGACCCGGACGGATGTCAAAACGGGGATCCGAAGAGGGTTGGTTCGGGTCTTGGCCAGTGGATGAGGGGACAGTTTTCTCGAGCTCCTTCGGTAACGTCAGCGTCTTACAAGAGGTCTGATCTCAGGCTTCTGCTCGGGGTGTTGGGTGCGCCCCTGGCTCCGCTTCATGTTAGCTCGTTTGACCCGTTGCCTCACCTCAGCATTAAGGATACTCCCATTGTTAGTTGCTTCTTTCTCTCTCACTCTGAGTGATTAATGGAGTTGTTTTGTGCTCAATTTCATTTAGGCATTTTTTGAAGAAATGAATGAATTTCAAAAATTAAAGCTCATGGTTTTCTGCAGAGCAATTCTGTAAAGATCATGCTGTCATGAATTTTTGGACATCGTTGCATGTTCTGTTTTGAAATTTTGGAACATGATTAATCTTTCTGTCCAAGTAATCAACAAATTGCTTGTTCTTAGCTGTTGGTGTACGCATTGTCATATTTTCTACATAGGTATTATTCATTGTATATAAAACCTTACAATTTTGTACCTTTATTTGAGCTATTTTCGTGTTTACCTGAAATGGTTAATCGTGGGAAAACTGAATCACGCGCGTGCAAGTTTGACCGCTGCTGCGGACGAAATATTGCAATTTTTTGCTTTCATATCTCGCTGATAAGGGATGATGACGATCTCGAGTTGCTTTCATTACAGGAAACCTCGTCTGCACAATACATACTGCAGCAGTTCACAGCAGCTTCTGGTGGGCAGAAGTTACAAAACTCTATAAAAAATGCATATGCTATGGGAAAAGTGAGAATGGTGGCTTCTGAATTTGAAACTGCCACAAGGGTAGTGAAAAATAGAAATGCCTCTAGATGTGCCGAGTCTGGTGGGTTTGTGCTCTGGCAGATGAATCCTGACATGTGGTATGTAGAGCTTGCCGTAGGGGGAAGCAAGGTCCATGCAGGTTGCAACGGGAAGCTTGTTTGGAGACACACACCGTGGCTTGGTGCTCACACAGCAAAGGGACCAGTGAGACCACTGCGTCGTGCACTTCAGGTTAGGCTTTTGACTTTCAGTTTTCCGACTGCTGTACATCTGTTGCTTCTCTTCCTGTTAACTCCTTTCCTCTGTGTATTTCTTATTCTGTACATATTTGTTTAATTAGGGTCTTGACCCCAGAACCACTGCCAGCATGTTTGCGGCTGCCAAATGCATCGGGGAGAAGAAAATCAATGGTGATGATTGCTTCATCCTTAAGCTCTGTGCTGATCCTCAAACGTTAAAAGCTCGGAGTGAGGGTCCTGCAGAGATCATCAGGCATGTCTTATTTGGCTACTTCAGCCAGAAGACTGGACTCCTTGTTCACATTGAAGATTCTCATCTGACCCGCATCCAATCTAACGGGGGTGAAGCAGTTTACTGGGAAACCACAATAAATTCATTCCTTGATGATTATAGACCTGTGGAAGGGATTATGATTGCTCACTCTGGTCATTCTGTAGTAACACTTTTCAGGTTTGGGGAGATGGCGATGAGCCACACCAAAACAAGAATGGAAGAAGCCTGGACCATCGAAGAAGCTGCATTCAATGTTCCAGGCCTTTCAGTTGATTGTTTCATTCCCCCAGCTGATTTGAAAACTGGTTCAGTCAGTGAAACTTGTGAGCTTCCTCAGGATGAAAAAGGAAAGAAATCTCTGGCAGTACATCGAGTTAAGCTTTCTGCACTGGAAAAATCACACCAGGGCAGCACTGATTGTACGGAATGGTAGATGGAATTCTAACTCTGGCTGAGGACTCGACCAATGCAATTGTTCATAGCAGTTACTAGTACTTGGCTACTGATACTCATAGAGGTTAGAGTTGGGATTCAGTTGGTTCTTTGTGGAAGTCTACCTGTGCCTCTATTTAATCTGTAAATAGAGCAAAAACAAAATTCACTTGTTCCTACCAGACCCGAGTGAAATTTTATACTCTCTGCAGGATCCATTTACGTAGTTGGAGCTTTTGTTTATCCACCTAGGAAAATAAAAAATAGGGATTGTTTTTTACTTTGGCTTCCATACACGATGAAAAGTTGGTGCATTGACAAGAAACTTGTGTAACTTCGCGACTTAGTTTAGTGTTGGTGGTGGTAGTATTTAAGAACCTTCCACCGACCTCAGGGGGTCTGACACTAACAGATCAGTGTTGAAGGATGTGCTAATTTGTAGGAATTGTTTCTGGGTTTTGATTGGTAAAACGGGTGTTTTTGGGTCGGGCAATTTACTGTCTTACTTCTGGATCGAGCTCTTCTGATATGGTTTACAGCTGTATTTTTGCCCTTTTTATTCAGTGCTTCTGAAGATGGTATGTAATCGCCAATGAATGCCCATGATACATTTCTTGTATTAGGCTTTCCATTGAATTTGGGGAATTGATATGCTTCCTAGACACACACTATTGGTTACATGATCTCTTATTTTTACCCCCTCCTTTCCAAAGGGAAGGTAAAACAATTGTATTCCTCTCCTTAGAAGTTACGTTAAGAAGGGCATACCTTGTACAAGAGACGATGATCTACGATACTCCTTTCCATCTTTATTATAAGACATATTTAATCATTATCTTTATTATAAGACATATTCAATCATTTTATACATATTGAGAATAGTTTTTTTTATATTATTAAAAAAATATACTTTTATTTTTACTCTTGATTTTGAATAATAATATAATTGTATTAAATACTTTTGCTTTAATCAAGGAAGTGTAAAATATAAAAAAAGTGATTTCGTTATTACATTATTATCTTGTATTTTGAATCAAAAATTACTTATAAAATGTATCTTATAAATAGAATTGGAGGGAGTATATAACAGATGAATTTAGAAGATGTTAAATATTCTATCAAATAAAATTTGAGTAAAGTGTTGGGATTTAAAATAATGTTTTTCCTATTATTTTAAGTATATACTTTTTTGGTCATCTTTGTAAGTCGTCATAATCAACTATCAGTTCATCCCAAATTTTGAGCAAATTTTGTCTCCACCAAGAATTTGAATGTTTAGGAGTCTGGTCACAGGAAGAAAATTAAGCGTGGTTGTGGGTGCAATGCGTTGGCGTGTAGAGGACAAAGTGGCAAGTTAGCGATGAATATTAACTTTTTCCCGAGGTTGTCGTTTTTAATGAAAGACGTGCGTGTGTAAACGCGACAACGGATATTTAGAGTTCCAATCCCCCCCGGCCCCGGGGAGCCGGGACTAGTGGTGCTCCTGGTATTGCTGCTTCATTTATTTATTTATTGCCTTGTTATTGTTGCTTTTGCGGGTTAGTTAGTGTCTCTCTTTTTTATCCTTTCGAACAGTAACAAATTTCTTACTTTTGTTTATTCGGTGAAGGTACCAACCTTCACATGCTGCTTGAGATCATTTGAGTTCTGCATCATTATACACATTTACTGCATGAATGTGATTGTTATTTCGTAATTACTTTCTAATCCAATTTTGCTCAAAGCTCCTAGGGATGAAAAACAATGTCAGAACCGTCACATACATACACAAAAAGGATGAGGGCGGCCTCTGTTATGAGCAACCTTGTAAACTTTGTAAACTCAATTTCACTTGTAAAATTTCTCGATACAAGACTTATGATAATGCCACTCTATTTAAGAGTCAATATTTCTAACAATTCTAACGCTTATGTTATGAGCTAGTGATGGAACCGCATTATATTAAGGGGTCCATTTTGAAAAAAAATACAAGTAAAGTATATAAATTTCATAATTATTCCCTGCTTTTGATATTTTATGTCTTCTAAACTAAATAAAAAATATTTAAACTCAAAAAATTATTAGATATATAATATTTTAATAATTAAAAATAAAATATGAAGAGCATATTTATAATAAAAGACCATATTAATCTTATCAATAATTTTTTTAAAATAAAAATTATTATAAATCTATTTATGTTATTACAAATTTAGTCCTAACATAATAATTTTTAATTATTAAATTATTGCTCTAAAAAATATTAATTTTCTTATTAAATTATTCTACACCCCAGTTCCAAGTTTTAACTTTATCACTGTTATAAACACACAGAGAGAGCTTATATAAAAAAAAACTATTCTATTAAATTTGAGAGCCTTATAAGCTACACTTTATGGGAGTTCTCAATGTGGGGCTCGTAAGCATCAATCAGTGAAAAAGGCATGGAGATAGTATGATTGCATTTGATGTTTTCAGAAGAGAAGGTGCCAACATTAATCAAACTCACAATCAGCGTCTTAAAGAAACGGACCTAACCCTTGATGTTTACTCTTAATTACACTTATCTAATACTTAAAGATCTTAAACACCCGACCTAACTCACAATCACCATTTCTGCTTAAGCTATTATTCATTCCGAGCATGGCATGTGAAATCAATTTAGTGATGTGGACTCTTCAACCAAGTTATGTATGGGTGGTCCTTGGTCCATGGAGCTAACCCATCTGAAGCCATCCCATAACTGAGAAAACGAAATTTCCAAACCAGTAAAATTTTTTGAATGAAAATGACCACTCCTATGTATACTGACCTCATAACTGGATTTCTGATGGGAACTCCTACAGATGCCGACGCATATTTGTACGTATCTGTGTGTGGGTCTCTCTCTATATATTTATATATATGAATTATATGCTTATATATACGTATAGCATGGGAATGAAAGAAAGAGGTTAGCTAGAAGTCAAAGAGACTTTAAGATTGGAGTTGGGTTTAGTGAGCATGCATGGGAAGGGAAACTTCCATTGTAATTGATTATACTTCTTGTCAATATGAATGTTATTTTCTAAAAATATTATTTGGGTTAATTTTTATAATTTTTTAGCCATACCCTTACGTCATTTATTATTTTTTTAAAAATTATTTATTAAAATTTCAATTGTTATTATTAAATCACTTATTTAAAACATTTAATAAATGTATAATTAGAAAGATGTACACTTTTTAAAAGACTAAAGTTTTAACTATTTTTTTTTAAAAAAACTGAAATAATTTACAATAAACTACACAGTGGAAGGAGGGAATATAGTTTAGAAACCAAGGCTTCCATGATTTATATTTTTATATGGCCTTTGCTTTTATATATACCTTCATCCCACATCTTAGTATCTAACCCTTGGTTTGGATGGAGAGAAAACTAGGGGGCAAAACTATGTGAGAAAACTTAAAAAAAAAAAAGTATTTTTTTTAAAAAAAAAAAAATCTCGGTTTTCTTCCTTCTCTATTTTCTTCTTACTTTTTCCTCTATCCAAGCTAAGCCTAAGGCGTGAAGCCACCTAAAACATATTTCTACAAAGTAACCATTATGTGGCTGGCTGATCTTTGATTCCCTCCCATGATAAACATGTTTATAGAAGTCATATTATTTCTGCTGTTGACAGATATTACTAGAATTGAGGATCGAATTGAAAATCCGTTAAAGTTTGAAAATGTAGTTTTTCATATGTGGTCATCCTCAAACCCCAATGGTTCATAGGCCTAAGAGGAAGATGAGTTGAAGCACATGCAAGTAGCAGAAGCCAGAAATGGCAGTGAAGGGAGACAAGTTGGAGGGTATGGGTTAGGTGTACTGTTCTGAGCTTCCCCAAGCTCTAGCTACGCACAACAGTCATCTCAGTTTTTTTTTTTTTTTAAGCCATAATATTTTATTTCATATACACAATGTGAACAAGACTTCCGAGTAAAAACATTATGAAATTCATAGGTTATAGTGCCTAGTTCAGACTAATCTTGGTTTGACTTGCTTGATGGCATCTCCTTAAACTTATTGATGTATGTAGATTCCAAAGTTGACTTACCAATAAGAAGCTTCCTAGCAATAGCTAAACCCACAATTTCTGCTTACTGTTCAATTATTTTTCCCATCAGCTTGGCAAAAAAGTGAAGCCCACCATCAGTAAGTTTTTTTGGTCATTTAAGAATTGGGTTTCAAGACTCTCCAAAATTATAACACACCTTTAGGCTTAAATAATATTTATAAAAGTATTTACAGATTAGTCATTAATAAGATTTTTATATTAGCAATGATATTTGAACTCATAACCTTATAATTATAAGTTAAATCCTTATCAATTGAATTAATTATTATTGGTCAAGGATGAGTAAGTTTGAATATTAGAACATTAAATCTAGCTTATAATTTAGAAAATATAAATGAAGCATTAGAGTGGTGGATTGGAAGCATGAAACTGTAGAAGCCAAAGTGAGAGGGAGTTGCAGTTGACTAAATGAATCCCATTAGTGAGACAAGAAGTCATATCAAAATCCTGCAGAACTGGACGATGAGAACTTCAAAGAGACGCGTTCAAGTGGTGAAGTTGATCTAAAAAAATGTTAAAAAGAACAAGACAAAAGAATATCGAAGAGTAGAAAAAATGAATGGAGAAAGTGTCGGCAGAGGAAGGTAGAACTTAATTCAATAGCAGAAGACAGGGAATGGAGACACATTAAATAGGAGAGATCTGAATCTTTCAGAGAGGGTGGGGGATGCATATGGAATTAAATAAAAATGATCAACACAGGACACAGCCAAAACTGCTGTAAGTACCATACCTTTCTACTCTCTTCTTCATCTTTCGCTCTCACCCTCGCTGTTCAGATTCACCAATTTCTTCCATGTGCTTCAGAGATCTATCACTATTGTGTTTTTGTGGTCACCTACACTGTATTGTGTTGCAGAAAACATAACAACTGAACTTCCATCTCAGGATAATATGAGTACTTGCTCGTTTTAACTATATAAATCACAGACCCAGGATTTGTTTTGGCAGGATTAATGCATAGAAACGTGGGAAAAGAAAACATTTCAGCTCATTAGCCTCCAAATTTTGGAGCTGTTACATATTGATTCTTGCCATGAAAACTAGATAAGGATGCGGTATTACTCTCATAAATATTTTTTAATAGCTAAATAATAGATTTTCTAAATATTTCTGTAAATATTTTGAATCTGAAAGCACATCATGATACTGGTGAGCCTATGCGATTCAACTCACATGAGCTTTTCTCAAAACAAAACAAAAAAAAAATCCAAAACATGTTAGTGAATTGTCTTTAAGTTGATTCTTAACTAATTGAATCAATTTGTTTAACTATTCTATAGATATTTCTGTAAATGGTTTTTCAAATCTTGAGGCATGTCATGATTCTAATCAGCATCTATGATTTAACACACATAAACTTTTTTCTAGAAAAAAAATTCTTAAACATGTTAGTGGGTTGTGTCTAAGTTGATTCCTAGCGAATTGAATCAACTTTTTATTAGTGGACTTCTCTCTCTGTCTAAGACTTGGGGTGCATATCAACTTGGGCCTTCTTTGCTTCAGCATGGTTTAAAATGGGCATGTGACAAGTACAGCCTATTCAGTTTCTTTGTTGACGGAAACTGGAAAACCCCATAAAATTAGTGGGTTTTTCAGTTCCCATCAGCAAAGACATTGAATGGGCTATACTATCCAATTGCTCACCTGGGAGATCTTGTTTTGGAGCTCATGAAGCCTTTTCAAACTAAAACTGTGGACCTTAGCGAGTGAATACATGTTAGTCATTGGCCACCCCCACTGTATATGTATATCTCTCGGTGTGTGAAGTATTGGAGAGCATTGCTTTGGAAAGAATTATTTTTTAAATGATGCTCATATTTGTAGAGTGATTAGTCTCATGCCTGCTGCTACTCGGCTCGATCCAATTTCAACGCTCGTCGTATAGATGAGTAGTAGGAGCTCATCACCTTTAAATTATTTAAATATAATTTGAACAGTTTAAATTTACAGCTTTTCAGCTAGTTTTTTAAATAAAAAATTATTTTTTTTTTTGAAAAATTGAAAGTGAAGATATTGTCTTTATTGTAGATTCTGCACCTATTAAAATAATTTAAAAAAATTAAAATAAAAAAATATACATATGAGCCAGTTAGATTAGATCTGAATAATATAGAGGTAATGAGCTCCTAGTACTCATTTGTATAATGAGCATCGAAACTCATTCTCTTGTGGGCTATGGGATATACATTGGAAAACAATAAAAAAACTGCGTGTGTGAGAGAGATACCGAACGAGATAATTCATTTTTTGGGTAGACCAAACAAGATAAATTAACTAATAATTTTCTTACCATATAATTTATAAAATACCAGAAGCTCTATGTATGGTGTAATCCCCCAACCTAACTAACCATAATCGAAATTTACCTGCCAACAGAAATCTATAAACCCCATATCTGGATGTGAAAACAGTAGTTTGTCTTCAATAAAGCAATCAGAACCAATTCCATTTTCTAGTTTATGAATCATTTATCTTTTAACATGTAATAGTTTTATTTTATCTGATATAAAACTTTTCACTTTAATTTACTCACATTAATTCATGTCCACTCGCACTTAAAACATTCTAACAGGAATGATTTTCATTGATGAGTATAATTTTCTATTGCCCTTCATACGCTAATTGAGTTCGAGCCACTAGTTTACGAGGACCTTAAACTTAAATGCAAACGTATAGCCTCAGGAGTCAGGATAGCGTTTTCAGAAAAAGATTGAAAAAGAAAGATAAACTGAGAAAAATAGCATACATATAGAATAGTAAATCCTCTGAGATACAAGAAAGATGTGTGACCTTAAGATCCTCCAAAAGAATGCCAAGTCAATAATAATTTGTGCTGCTGGTCCAGATATGGCTCACAAAAGCTCCATGTGATTCAGGCCTCAAAATATACACAACAATAATACAATGCAAATAGGAAAACTCCACAGAATACTACAGAATCCTCTAGAACATGAGTGAGAAAAGGCCACATCCGAAGAGCAGGCTCAGAATCATGTTGTGCAAGGACCACAACTTCTCTGCTCCACTCTGCAAAATGCAACAGCACAACGTTAATTCTCACATCACCTATTTAATGTTTTTCACAGACATCAAGTGTTGGTTTTAATGAATACTCCTATGTCTGTTGTGACCTTCTGATCAATCATTTCACAGTAGCTTTGACATTCAATGATGATGTTGCGCACAAAACAGGACGCCACACAAAAACGTTATAGCTTGTTTAAGGCATAAACACTTTGTGGGGCACTCCTCCTCATATATTATTATTTATAAACGAGGTAACAAAAAAGTGACAACATAACATTTTATTTGAACTTGGGATGCTAACATGAAAATAGAAAAATCATGAGGCTAGCGTATTCCCTTAAATTGCCATGTCTTTATATCTTTGGCGCAAAGACTTCAAAAATGAAGAAGTGATCTCTAAATCATATCAAGATGTCAATGTTGTACAAATATATTAATTTATTGAAAATAGAGAAAGATTTCCTTTGTATTCAAGACAATGAACAATCATACAGAATGGACCACCTATTCAAGACAATCATATACAAAAAACTAATTATCAGTGATTAGCATTTTTCAATAAATCAAGTTCTCTGTTATTAGTTGCCAGTTTAGCATAACTACCCAGCCACTCACCAGTGACCAGCTCAGCTCATGTTTTGGATTGAGCGTTTAAAAGAATGATTATGAAACATATAGATATAGTACCAGTACATGAATCCCATCACCCACCAGATTTATTTTTTTCTATTAGTATTATGGTATCATTTTTATATAAGCAGGCACAGGACAATTACCTTTTAAATTACCAAAAAATGCAGTCATATCAAAATCATAGAGATCTGTGTTGTGTAACGTATCAAGTAACATTTTGCAGATCTCCAAATAATCCATGTATTAAAAAAGAACCAACCCTAATGATCCCGGATCCCCAGATTTGGATCTATGAGAAAGCAAGAGAGAGAATGGTGAAGCGAATTTGAGATTTGGATCTGGGATCAAATAACGCATTTTTGCAAGTAACCAATCTAATTTTGCAACTGCCAAGTGCTATGTAGCATGTAATTTTTTTAAGATAAAATTAAAAAAAATAAAAATGACATTATTTTCATTTTCAAAGATCATGTACCATACTATAACTACTTCACGGTTGTATCTAAATTACCCATAATAACTCATTTAGATATGCTTCCAAGTTAAAAAAAGAACTTCGGTTGATTCCGTCCTTTGGTTGTTACTTGTTAGTGTCTAAATTTTCCCCAAGCATTTATAGAATAAAGGCAAAAAATCAAGTATTGAAAATCGAATTAAATCATTGAACTAAATACTGATTTAAAAGTTAAACGTCAAGATTAAAATAAAATCATGATTAAAATATTTTATTTAACTATTCAAACAGGTTGAGAAGCACACTGCAGCAAATAAATGCCCAATATTTCTCTTTCAAACCCCTCAATTGGCTTATTGCCCAGACAGAAACATTTTCTTTTCTTTTATTAAATTTAGCATCCTGTCTAAAAAGACTCGTACGGTCGTGCCTTAAAAACCAGACCAAAAAACAGAAGACGCTCTCTCCAACACTCCTCCACGTTCCTGCCTCTCTTCTTAATCTAACGGCGCATTACCTATAGATTTATTGACCAAACGGCGTCGTTTATGTCGCAAAACGAGAGACAGAAAGCAATACAAGGACAGTTAGTAGAAGAGTTTGTGAACTTACTACATCGCTGCTGCCACTGGGAGAAATGTTGGCGAGGCTAGGACCGGGTGCCTCCGCTGGCGGCAACGGTGGGCTGGGTGCCAATGCAGGAGACGGAGCTTTGCTCTTCAGTTTCGAAGGGGACAGAGCCGGAGAGGTCGCCGGAGGAGATGAAAGAGGCGCCGGGGTAATGGCTGGAGGTGGGACAGCTGGTGGGGGTGTGGCCGGAGGAGGAGTTGCCGGAGGGGGAGTGGCCGGGGGAGGAGTGGCGGGTGGAGGAGAAGCCGGGGGCGGGGTAGCGGGTGGAGGAGAAGCGGGAGGAGGGGATGCCGGTGGTGGAGTGGCCGGAGGAGGGGATGCAGGCGGTGGAGAGGCTGGAGGAAGGGATGCAGGAGGTGGAGAGCTTACAGGGGGAGGGGTGGCAGGGGGAGGAGAGGAAGCCGGAGGAGGGGACGATTGAGGCGGAGGAGATTGCTGAACCGTGGGAGGAGCGGCTTGGGGAGTGGTGGCGGTGGGCGGAGAAGCAGTGGGAGCAGGAGGAGCAGGAGACGAAGTGGGAGAGGAAGAGGGAGACTGGCCTCCGACGCCGGCGACGACAATGCAGATGAAAGCAAGCGAGAACAGGCACCGGCGGTCCATCATGCGTCAATTGTTAAGCTACGCACCTGTTTCTGCTTAACCTGCGCACCCGATAGATAGAGAGAGGGAGGGAGGAGCGAGTTAGAGAGGGAACAAGGAGGAGAGATTAAATAGGGAAGAACAAAAGAGAGGGAAGGTTCGGCCTTGCCACTTCCAGACAAATCTGCGGCGTCCGATGGCGCACCATCTCTTTTTTATTACTCGATCTCACTGCCACGTGGTGATGCTTTTTTTTGTTAACCATTGGAAAGAAAAACTACCAAAAATAAAAAAAGAAAAGAAAATACTGCTCAATTGGGGTCCGGATCCTCTCATCATCCTTTGGCTACTTTTTTTCTCTTCATCCTCGTGTCCACCCTCAAACAACAAAATAAATGGTCCAAATTTATTTATTTTTTAAAATAATTATTATATAAAAATAAAAATAAATTTAAACTATTAAAATTTAACCCAGAACTTTCAGATTATATTTTTATTAAAAAAAATTTATTTATTTTATTGTAGTTATAAACTATGAAAATTAAATTTTAACAATTTAAAATTACTTTCTCCATTTAAAAATATAAAGTATTTTTTGAAGAGTTAAATGTTCACAAATTTAAGGTATTTTTAATCTTTCAAGTTATGATTATTACTTTTTTTCAAAAGTACCTTTATTGATAATGACTTTATATTTATTGTAGGGTGTTTAATAGAAGTAAATGTAAAAAAATAGTATTAGTTGAAAAGTAGTAACTATTTTATTGAGGGATGAGATTCGATTAAAAATAACTTACATCTTTGTATAAAGGGAGTATTTATTTATTTTTTAATATAATATTATGATTATTGTTTTATAAAATAATTAAATCTGAGCCGCCTATTTTTTAGTCAAAGGTGGAGATGGGGATGAGGAGAAGAGAAGGAGAGAAAGGATGAGGAGAGGATCTAGTTCCGCTCAATTGCAGAATTGCTCGTTGTTTGAAGGATTCAATAAACACTGGACAGCTGGATTCATGGACCCTCTACATTTTTTCCCCCACATTACTCACTCTACATTGGAACCTGAACGTCGACTTCTACTAATATTTTTTTTCGAATAATATTAAATCTACTAATAATATTTCTGTTCTACATTCATTGATTTAAGGATCAAATTAAGGGCTAGATTATACAAAATTTGTAAATTTAAAACCGAACACAAATGTTTTTAAAACATGATAAAGAATTCCTCTCAGTTTTAAATTCGTGTAAATTTCCTCACAATTAATTATTTTGTTATTTTATTAACGAATTCTTATGTAGTAGTATTACTTACCATAGACACATCATTTTTAAATGAAAATTCTCAAAAATTGAGTTATATATAAATAAATGTTTACATTTAAGTCAAATAAAAATAAACCCCCAATCATATTATATTTTTTTTAGTAAAATGATTGACAACTTCATAGTAACAGAGTCATTTTCATAAATATAAAAATTTAGGGAGGTTCATTTTAAAGTTTTAAGGATAAAAAAATGCCATCTGCATATAACTTAAAAGTTAAGGAGTGGTATGTAGTATAATTTAATCAAACATTAGTTATTTTTCAAACTTTAAAAATTTAAGAAAATATTGATTTGATTATTTTAATTATGGAATAAGAGAGATACTTTCAAAAATAAATGAACAAAATAGATATATAGTGTAATTAGACAATTTTAAAACTGGTATTACAATTCTATTTAAAACGAAAGGTTTTATAAATGTGTTAGGACATGCCAGTCCTGCAAGGACATGTTCAGGCATAAATTCAAAATTTAAAAAACAGTTCTCATAAGATTAGGATGATTTTAATAATATTATTATTTATCTCGTACATCTCAAATGTGCTAATATTTTGGCATGATTAGCAAACTTGAGTGATCATATTTACTCTGATTAGACCACATGGCTCACATAAACTCACATGTACAATTTAGTAAAAAGTTTTACCCATATTCATTGCGAACTTTTTGAAACTGTGCCTGGACCATGCTTCAATATCGAGTGAATAAAATTTGCATAGACGACAATTCAAATCCATGAATCAATCTTAAGGGGAAAAAATGTTTGGTAATGAGGAGAAAAATGATTTTAAGAAAATAAAAGGGGGGCTGTGGGGATGTATGGAGATTGTTATTATTTAATAGTATTGGTGAGATAGTGCTTATGTTCTCTGCAGGTAGGAAGTTTCTATCCACCCCAATATTACGCTTCATCTGTTAGTTTACGATGCTGAATCTTAAAGCCATTTTTTTTTTTTTGTGCTACCAAAATTGATTTGAAAGCCCACTCTCAAGATTCAAGATCTTGTGATCTTATTGTCTTGTTTGTCAACATGTACACGAATCATCTGATACAAACACAGAATGAAAACGCCCATATTAGTTCCCCAACTCAATTATTTGTGTATTTATAACCTATTTTGAAATGTTTGTAATTGTCATGAGTTGGGGAAGGAATATGGGCATTTTCATTCATAGAGTCTGCATTTTCCATCTTAATTAAATTGTCTGTTCTTAGCAGTCAAGGATATCAGGAGTTGTGTGTATGTTTACAAATTATATTCAATAAACATATGTATCATTGTCTTCTTTATGGGGTACCTGTAAGTCATTTTCTCATATAATTATTGGTGCTGGCCATGAAGAGAGATGTGAATGGCATGGATTGAGAGAACCAGATGCAGAGAGCCAGGAGTGATATACATGACATTAATTATTGTTGGCACGTAGACGAGATTTATTCTTACAGGAAAGCATCTAAACCCAAGTAAGATCAACATCAAATTAATGATTGCCATCCAAATAAAAGAAAAAAGCGAATGATGGGAGCGGTTTATCATTTTGGATGTGGGTGCGTATCATGTGTTGTAGGAATATTCAACTTATATCCATTTCAATTAATTCTTTGATATCATTTCAATCATATTAAAATGAGTTTTGTCTAGACCTAAAAATAATCGAGACGAGATAAAAAAAATTATTAATTTGCCCTTATTAAACATAACGTTTTTAAAGATATTTTTTCTCTCACATTTAATTTAACATTTTACACTGTTCGTAAATAGTTGTGAAAAGGTAAAATTAGAAAAAATGATTAATGATAAACATTTTTATGTGAATAGTTGTGAAAAGGTAAAATTAGAAAAAATGATTAATGGTAAGCATTTTTATGTGAAGTGATGACTCATAAAAAAGACTATTAGTTCCTTATACAATATGACTTTTATTCCTTCCTATCCAAAATATAAACAGCTTTTAGTAAGAATTCATAATCAATAGAGTCCTCAATATCATAAAAATATACATCACAATGCATTATTCCAATTAGTGATAACACATAGAAAAGACTGTTAATTCCTTATAGAATGTGACTTGTATATAGAATGGGAAAGAGTACATATATATAATTAATGAAAAGAAAATAAGAAATATCACACCTATAATTAATGTTAGGAAGCAGACCATTGGTGATGAATGTGAGTATAATTATGGGCTTTGATTTAAAACAAAAAAAAATGAAGGGATGAGCAGGATTAATTAATTAATTAATTAATGAGAAAGAAGGGAAAAGAAAGAATAATTGAGGAGAGACGGACTGGAAAGCATGTGTGATTTGGAAGCTAACGACGTTGCAAGTAAAGCAAGTATCTGTTTGTCTAGCTTGTCTTGTGATGAGTGAATTTCAAGCTATTCCTTATCCTTCTTTTTTGTTTCTTCTTCGCTTGTTAATAAGTACTTTACATCATTCTCACTTTTTAATTTGCTTAAATATGAACATTTATAATTTGCTTTCAGCTTCTTTTTATTTTCGCTAAAACTAGACAAAATAACCTCCAGCTTTAGATCACGAGTTGTCTTGAAATAATGAATAATTTATCTTTATAATTTTGTTTTGGTTGAAAAATACAGGCTGCACGCGAAGTTGGCTCGAGTTTTGAGGGTGACTTGATGAATATATAAAGTTTAGTAGAATGATATGATAATTTGCATATAATTAGCAGAGGGATTACTTTCGTATTATCGTTGTTCTCGTAATATATGGCGTGAGAGAGAATATTGAAATGATCGAAATTACAAGTCACTTATCTAAATGTCTGAAATATTATTTTTTTGTTCTATAAAATATACCTCAAAAACTATTCTCCTATTATATTTAGATTTTTTTTTAAAGAGAGAAACAGTGTTCGATTTAATTAAGGATCATAATTTTAATGGTGTAATTTAATTTAATCATTGATTGGGAGAATTTTCAGAGAATAATAATAACCATGCAATTGATATTCATAATTTGTAATTTATTTCTAAACCATGTTCAGTCTAGTTTAATAAGTTTAACTATCATTCTGAATCATAACCAGGTAGATAATAATAGCTGATCTTTGAAAATCTTATTATTAATGTAAAGATTTTGTTAGTGAGCGATCTATAAATATTTTTATAAGTGTTTTTTAAATTTAAAAGTATATTCTAGCTTTGTGAATTTTTAAGATCCAACTCACTTAAATTTTAAATAAAAATATAATAAAAAAAAATTGAAACTAAGAGGAACTTGACTCACTTGGACCCCACTTGAATGTAATTTGAAGATAGTAGATATTTGTAAGAAGAGAATATAAATTAAGGACTTGGTGCTGGGAAGTACTCGTTTCTGTTTTTATTATAAAATATTTTTAATTATTTTATACAATTTTAAAAATTAATTTTTTTAATATTATAAAAAATGAAATATATTTTTATTTTTATTCTTAACTTTAAATAATAATATAATTATATGAAATATCTTTATGTTAATTCAGAAAAGATAAAATTTTAAAAAATAATTTAATTAGTATAAAGTATTTTATATTTTGGACAAAAAATTATTTTTAAAATATACTACCTTCGTCTCAAATTATAGTATATTTTTAAAAAGTTTCTCTATCATAAAATATAAGATACTTTGAATATATTAAGATTTCATTAAACATAATAATTTTAATATTATCCTTTCACTCTTCATAATTAATTTTCATCTCTTCTGTTTTTAATATATTAAATGATGAATATTTTTAAAAATTTATATTTTTATTTTAAAAAATAATAGTGT